TTCTCATAGATTAAGGCATACACCGAATTAATCGCAACTTTGATCGTATATTGAAGTGGATATAAAAAATGTGTTTCAGTATCGGAGGGCGCCCTTAGCTATCGCACGTACCATGTTTTGAGTGGTCTAGCACCAACTTATAACGTTCTTCTGAATATCACGGTTTTTTTTATTATGACCAGCTCCTGATCCATTTAGTAAATACCGACATACCAGACACACGGTCGGAAGCAGAGCAAAGTCTGAAAAATGTCTCAAAATCGCAAGGTTTTTTGTAGCGAAATTACGACAAGTTGGTGGGTAATGTGTGAAATCCTGTAATCGGTAACCTGTGATGTTTGGTCAAGGCATAACAAAAGCCACTAGAAGTATGTTGAGCAGAGCATCAAATAAAAAGGTTAAAATGCTTAACAGTAAATAGGCTAGTTATATAATAAATAGATAAACAGATTAATGACACGTCTCTTACTACATCTATCGCCAAAGTCCAAACAAAATAAATCCCGCAAAACGGAACTGTCAACAAACGGAGACAATCAGTGTGATATTCTAAAAGCCCGACCCGTAATATTATCTAAAGTAAACACGTTCCCCCTGTTTTACTGCAAAATTATGAATTATTGATGCTTTCAGGTTACAGAAAATAATGTAGTTACTGACTGTCAATTTTAGTAAAAGGTACAGACATCGCTTATGAAAAACTTCATAATTACGAGCAATGTAGACCGTAAAAGATCAAGGTGAAGAATGAGACATTGGTCAGACCAAGTGGCAGAACTCAAAATGCCCCAAGCTTCTCCTTTAGACCGAAAGAGGAGTTGGAATCTGAGAAGGCATCCGAAGAAACAAAAGAAAATCACACAAATAAAATCGCCTCAAGATTTCTGATCAACATTGTCAATCTAAATGTCTCCACCGACTGAATCGCCTCCACCAATTTATTCAATCACCGAATCATGATTGTCCTCGGATTAGTGAGAACCGATTCAGCTCAATTTACCGCTGTCAGTTTTACGATTCAATTGCACATTACATGGTGCGAGGAACCTTAAAATGAGGGTAATATGCGAAAATGCGTCCACAATGAAAATTTCAAAAAGAATTCGGTGTTTCCGATTTCGAATAAGCACAAAAGTTTTCATGTACATAACATTGTCAATAAAATAAATATGATTCTATTTTAAACATTTTTTTTCCTCTAAACTCCTAAATGCACAGAACAAAAGTACTAAAATTTAAATTGTATGTTATATACATAAATACATAATATATAATAATATAGTAGTATGCCTTGACGGATGCTTTCAAATAGTCATGATTTTACCAAAGCGAAGTGATTAAGTCATCAAAACTGTCTCATGATGTCATAAAATAACAGAAGATATTTTTACAAATAGCTACGCTAGCGACATTTCATATACCTACGAATAAATAATAAGTCATTTTTATTTTATATGTATATTTAAAACTTACAAGTATGTGTATCAGTCTCTGGAGCCCGTGGTACTGGGAATCCTGGTTTGGGACCAGAAGACCACGTGCGATTTGTCCTTGATTTTTTTTTAATTTTATTTCCTCAATATTAATTTCTTACGGAATGATTCGATTCACTAAAACAAAACCACTTAGACTGTGCAATGTTCGCCATCTTATTGAAGTACAAAACGTAACTTCAAACGAAATACTCTTGAATCAAGAAGCACCCCGATGGATCCATTTGGATGGAAACATCTCGAACAATTTATTGAAATGTATTAGAGAATTTTGTGTCTAAAAATCGATACAACTTTACTATGTCAAGTTATCGCCGTGGACTGAACAGAAATGTCTATTGAGAAACATCAGATTAGGTTAACTTAATATATTTATTTTATTACGACGAACGGAAAATATAAAAGTCATCACCGGGAAATGTATATAAAAATGTTTAAGTATTGTTTTCAGTGTTCACGCGTTCCTACTCAATGTTGGCAAAGTTATTTACGTTACGACTTGAAAAGTAAAAAATTCTCAATTAAACTTTTTTTTGTGTATGGTACACAACAATTTTTGTATATATGAACTAACTATACCTTAGATCAGCGGTCGGGGAACCGGGGTAAATTACCCCAAATGGGGTTAATTGAAATTTTGGGGGGTAAAAATGAAACGTTTATGAGTAAAAAGTAGATATTAAAATGAAACTTTTTTAGAATCGTTGTGATTTCAATCTCAAAACAAGAAATTATCACTTACTTACATTTTGTGTGGGGGCGATTTTTTTGCCTCAACTGTATATTACATATATTACTATTATTACAGTTTTGTATTACTAGGTATTACATTGATAAATTGATTAAATGATGTTTAAATCAAATTTTTAGTTATTGTTTTCTTTTCAAAATTATCATGGGGGGCTATAATATGAAAGATGCTAAAAAGAAGCAATTTCGTTTTTTTTTTGTTCTTCGCCATCTTACACAAAAATATTTTGGGGTAATAATTAAAAAAGTTCCCCGACCGCTGCCTTAGATGATTATTTCTTGAAAACTATTTATTGCTTTTCATGTGGCGTGATTTAAATTTTATCTCAGAAGTATTCTTTGAATTGACCTTAACAACGGATACGTCTTAATGGATTGGACCAACTTAATGATATGCTCATTTTATTTTGTTGAAAGTTGGTTATCTTTATTTGAATTTTTTTCGATTATATTCTAAAAGCGTAAGTAAGCGTAAAAAATTAAAAAGTAAAAATCGTAGGTACTCCAGAAATTAATAATGAATGAATAATTTTAGACTTTGCACATAATACAGCTTTGAGATATTTATAAAATTTTTAAATGTGTATTGGAAATTGTATGTACGTATTGTTTACGACATTTGAGTCGTCTATTATCAAAGCCGGCAATCTGACTTTTGGACAATGATTGGTAAATCAGAAAAACGAATTATTGACTTTGTATTCCATTGGCAGTCACAAAACTCTTCGGAACGACATCTTAGATAAATAACAGGTTAACTATTAACCTTTATTTAATGCAGGTTTTGAACCGTATTCTTTGAAGGAGACGATTATATTCAAATANGACTATTATCAAAGCCGGCAATCTGACTTTTGGACAATGATTGGTAAATCAGAAAAACGAATTATTGACTTTGTATTCCATTGGCAGTCACAAAACTCTTCGGAACGACATCTTAGATAAATAACAGGTTAACTATTAACCTTTATTTAATGCAGGTTTTGAACCGTATTCTTTGAAGGAGACGATTATATTCAAATCAATCAATATTTTTTTTTTGTCCAAATGCACAGATTGCCACCTTTGATAATAGACGACTCATTTACAGTAATCAATCTAACCATTTAGTAAATTACTAATAAATACTTATAATATTTATACGTCTGTTGGTAAAACGTCAAACATAAAAATCAGATCGGATCTTATCCGACAAAAGCCAAACCGCGCTTACTGAATGTTCACTTTAAATTTTCAATTCCCTCGTAACAATACAACTAAGAAAACAAAGAGTCGGGATAGACAACTATAGCAGTTCAACTTTCCAGTTTTAAGTATTTCTGTTTTACCGAAGACCAAAATGCAATTTCGTTTCGTGCAAAATAAAATAAAGAGTGCAAAATGGCCGCTATTGTGGCCGCGTTGGCGCCAGTTTTGTTGTCTGTGGTCTGTGAGAATGCAAAGAGTCGGGTCGGTATGGAACTTCTTTATGGTTAATATAAATCCGTTTTGAAAGTACACTTTCCTAGTTTTGTTGATGCAACTGGAATAAATACATATTTTTCTACTCGTTTTTATTTTATTACCTAGACGGGTGGACGAACTCACGGCCAACCTGATGCTAAGTTATTACAGGAACCCATAGACATCAACAACGGTAATGCAACCATCCACCTTGAGGTATGAATTCTTAGTCTCAGTTTTATAATACAGCGACCCATTTATCAAACTGAAAGGCATTACTGCTTCACGATGGAAACAAGCAGGGTTGTGGTACCTACCCCTACCGCCCTACCAATCTAGGCAAATTTTAAATTTTACAAGTTTGAATTTTATTTCACGATGTTATGTCTTCATCATGGAAGTTGTTCGTGTTAAATACGTATTTCATTAGTAAAATTGGTAACTGCGTGTGGGATTCGGAAATCGACAGAGTCGCATCGCGCGATACGAATTCACCGTGCGTTTTATCCTTTATGCCACGATAACTTCAGAACCTTATGCCTCGAGGATGGTAGGCATTTTCGTAGTAAAGCCTTTGGACTCCATCGTGAGTTCATCGACATTGACGTAACCGTACTCGTCGAATTCGGCAAAGAGTTCGACGTGCAACCCACGCATCAGCCCGCCGAGTTTCTCGCCGGATCTTCTCAGCGGGTCGCGATTCCGATCCGGTAGCAGATTCATTCGCGAAGCAGCTGCCCTTGAATTGTTAAGCCTCCTTTGGAGGCGCTCGGGCAGCTGTTACCAAATCCCACTCCTCCTGGCTGAGCTTTTGTTCGCCCACCTGTCCTGGTGAAACTGGAGAGGCCTCCGGGCGACCAGTAATCCCTCATTCATAAAAAAAAAACTGGTAAAAAATTGTATCAGTAGTTATAAATATTTTATGAACAGATATAAGTACAAGGGTTATTTTGATAATATCCTGAAAAGCACCCCACGCTTTTTTACAATAAAATATTTTTTTCTTACACTATTGTTAATTCAGATTTATTAAAATTTATTTTCTATTTTTTAGTTGAATTTCAATTTTTTCAATTATTATTATTTTCATATTGAATTGTCATCGGTCCTTAATAAGTATACCAAATTTCGAGTTAATCCGACGTTTTGAAGGGGGTCAAAATCATGTTCAAAGATTCCGTTACAAACACATACAAACGTCTGAAGCTAATAAAAGCGTATTAAAAATAGCATTTAACTACCCAGTGTTCTTCTTATATCTTTTGTCGGCTGTATCACGTTGTGTTAAAATACTTTTATTTCTTCTTGTTACAGTGTTCCCGAACGTGCCGGCGGCGCCGGGCATGCCCTGCGCTGGTGAAGACAGTGAGTAGACAGATTTCTTTGTTACATTTTTCCATCGTATTTTTTTGTACTCTGTATTCCGTCTAGAGTTTCGAGCGCATTTTGTCAAAAATTTACTGGCGGGATTTCCTCAATTTTGTGTAAATATTCAACTTTGGATCTTAATTTTTTTTTATTGCTTACATGCTTGGACGAGCTCACAGCCCACCTGGTGTTAAGTGGTTACTGGAGCCCATAGACATCCACAACGTAATGCGCCACCCATCTTGAGATATAAGTTCTAAGGTCTCAAGTATAGTTACAACGGCTGCCCCACCCTTCAAACCGAAACGCGTTACTGCTTCACGGCAGAAATAGGCAGGGCGGTGGTACCTACCCGTGCGGACTCACAAGAGATCCTATCACCTTAGTGGTCGTCGTGGCCTAACGGATAAGACGTCCGGTGCATTCGTGTTGAAGCGATGCACCGGTATTCGAATCCCGCAGGCGGGTACCAATTTTTCTAATGAAATACGTACTCAACAAATGTTCACGATTGACTTCCACGGTGAAGGAATAACATCGTGTAATAAAAATGAAACCCGCAAAATTATAATTTGCGTAATTACTGGTGGTAGGACCTCTTGTGAGTCCGCACGGGTAGGTACCACCGCCCCGCCTATTTCTGCCGTGAAGCANTTTCTAATGAAATACGTACTCAACAAATGTTCACGATTGACTTCCACGGTGAAGGAATAACATCGTGTAATAAAAATGAAACCCGCAAAATTATAATTTGCGTAATTACTGGTGGTAGGACCTCTTGTGAGTCCGCACGGGTAGGTACCACCGCCCCGCCTATTTCTGCCGTGAAGCAGTAATGCGTTTCGGTTTGAAGGGTAGGGCAGCCGTTGTGACTATACTGAGACCTTAGAACTATATCTCAAGGTGTGTGGCGCATTTACGTTGTAGATGTCTATGGGCTCCAGTAACCACTTAACATCAGGTGGGCTGTGAGCTCGTCCACACAGCTACGCAATAAAAATAAAAAAAAAATAAAAAAAAACCAGTAAAAAATTCCGTATTTCGTATTCGACTAGAGTTTCGAGCGCTTTTACGTGAAGGCAAAACTTAAAACTTTGTACCTCTATTTACGAAAATTGCGCGGACGGAGGAGTATGAAATTTCCCAAACTTATAGAGAATATAGAGAAGGACTGCAGAATGTTATTTTTTTTTAAATATGCGTAAAAAATACATTAAAAAAAGAATCATAACACACACTACCATGTACTTGACACACACACGCATGCATACTATTTGTTTACTGTCAAACTTTGCTTAGTCTGTGGTCAAATTGAGAATAGATTAAATATTGTTTATCTTTATTAAAATTTGTCTAAAGTGTAGTCTTCGCGAAATCTGTGAATAAAGAAGTATAATAAATAGTCTTTGACAATAGAACCTTAAATGTTCAAACTTATGATTTCAATTAATTATAGTCGAATTTCGACTACTGCGGGACCACTAGTTGTGTAAATATTCAACATTGAATCTTAACTCGGAGGTTCTTAACTCGGTGGTTGTAAGTTGACTTCTTTATTGCACCAAGTGGTTTCTTTTTTTATGATTGAAAGATTACTGGTGGTCCTGAGGCCTTACCAGTTTCACCAGGACAGGTGGGCGAGCAAGGGCTCAGCCAGGATGGTTACTGTTAAGTTAGCTAATTAGGCGTTCGAAGCGTCTTCGTCGTCTGCGAAGTCAAACTGTTTCGCTGTAAAAATGGTAACGGTCTGTCAACCTGTGCGGATTCAAATACCACGATAATTACGACAATTTATAAATTTTGTGGATTTTATTGTTTTACCGTACTTAAAATGTGGATGTTGATCGCGAATTATTACTTAGAAGATATGTTTTCATTTGGCATAATCACATCGCTCGACACGAGTACAGAGTGAAATGTGAAATCTGTAAATATTAATAATAAAATTGATAAATAATTATGATAATAACTGCGACCAAATCACGCACGGTCATTCGGCGTCATTTTAGGCTTCAATATATTGTGGGTACCAGAGACAGTAAACATACTTATATATACATACATATATAGATAATAAATACTTCAAACAAAGTGCAAGAACACCTGTTCATCACACAATGTTTGCCCGATCTGGGTATCGAACCCACGACCCTCGGTGCAACAGGAATCGTCGCTGACTATTGCACCATTGAGTCAGTCAGAATTTGACCTAGCAACCAGTCATTTCGCCAGTAAACTTGGCCTAACAGATAATAGTAAAGAATCTGAAGTTGATAATCAAATCACAAATCGTTCTAACGAAGCCAAATTAAGAATATCAAAATACAATTAAAACTTCAGAAAGAGTTTACGTTGTTTCACAACTTTCATCAAATAACCTTAGCTATTTCATAAAAAGTTTAACGAAGCTTACATAGTAATATATAAGAGACAATAAACACGCACTCATAGAATTACGAGTTTATACCAATGTAATTCGGGCCTGTAATTAAATCCTTGTGAAACTTTTAATTGCTCGGGATATTAGTTTCGAATCGTTTTATAACTAGATAAGTGTTTGAATGCGAAGCTGTTCATTATTAATATGAGTTGGATTACATTTCGATTGGTTTTTAATTTTGGTAGATTACGGAAATAAGTTCGCCAACTATGTTTGAACAGACTGGCAATGCGCCATTCAGGTATTTGTACACTTGTGCTAACGCTTTATTTAACCCACAGAAACAACCTATTGAGTTTTTGGCCGTATCTTTTCAATTGGTCGCGATTCCGATATCAGCCAACCACTGCTCTTGTTAGGGCTAATGTTAACAAACTCTCTCAGGCTAAGGCTAGTATGCTGATAGCCTTGAGAGGATACTTCAGCTTTATCCTAACGCGTAGGTGAGCTCACAGGGCTCAAACCGGAAGTGTTGCTAACACTGGCCCAAGCAAGAGCAGTGGTTTGCAGAATTTACCACCGGATCGGAAACGCGACCCACTGAGAAGATCCAACGAAAAACTCAGTGGGCTGTGTCTATGGGTTAATTTACTCGTCGAGCCCTTCGTCGCAAGTGACGGGTTCGGCGAGGACGGTGAACGATGCTTGAGGTACCTAAAAGCACTGTTAATGGATCGGGAGGATCCGTAATGACGTGCTTAGGACGACATCGACTGTTTAACATTCGATCCACCGGATCGGGTATGTAATTTCCGGCGGCCACAACAAGATGGTTTTCGTGTCATGCTGCCATCTCAAAGGGGCGCAATGATGTCTACTGTAAATACTTACTGAGTAAGTCAAGCTCCAGGTCATCATGGAGATCCACATTCCTTAGGAACCATGGTGCTCCGACGGTTATCCTGCAATAACGAGATTAAATGACTTGAAGGGGTTTCAAGTTAGTGCGGGCCGCGTGGGCGAACACTACACTTGCATAGGTCATGACGGGGCGTATGCAAGTTTTGTAAAGTGTCACCTTATTAAGAAGGGACAATTTACTTCGCTGAGACTAGTGAGGTCGCCAGCCAGTCTTATAAGCAAAGAAAAAAAACGAGATTGGCTAATCACATTCAAGTTGCGATGTCAAATGACTCAGAGAACTACGGATGGACCGTGTGCTCGAACTTAAAAAAAACAGATTAAGGAGGCCGAAAACTGTGTCATCGAAAAAAATATATCGATAATAGCCACCATTAAAATCGATAATCAGTAACGTAATATTTGTTTCTTGAAACGATGATAAGATAATATCGATAACTTATTTTAGTATCGTTCGGTGAGCGATGCCATGTATCGCCAATGTCTTGTTCTGTTGAAATCTTCCACTACTTGTCAGGTTCGGTATATAATATTAGTAGTGAATACAATACAAAAACGTGCGGCATACGAAAGATGTGGTATCTCGAAAAACGATAATAGCTATCAGTTGATCACAAACGTAGAGTTAGCTGCTCGCTTCGTTAATATTTACAGAGGAAAATGTCTTGTTTATTCTCGTTTAAATAAACATAAGTGTTCAATTTATTTTTTAGTGTTATTTAGTGTATTTTTTATTAATAGACATTTTACCATTTAATTTTTCAATTAAAAATGTGACGTATCTGAAAAGAGCGAAGTGCCAGATTGTTTCCAGTGAATATTAATTTAAAATAGAAATGGCACTTGGGACTTTATTGATCGATTGCAAAAGTGAAGACCCGACAAGGGTATTCGGAGTTTATTTGGGTTTGTTTGACCTATATTTGAAGAGTGATTAATATGATTCAATCGTTTCCTTTGATATTTTATTAAAATCTTACGTATTCGTTTGCTAATCTATAAATTTTCCAATTTCAATGCATTTTTTAAGTGATAAAGAGAATTAAATCGATTCTTTTCAAGGCTGCTAATTATTAAGAATACTGATAGCGTCCGTCCGGAGTTTGTCTGTATTTTAACGGTATAAAAAGGCCGTGGAAAGACTTGAGAGCTTAGTTGTAAATTCAATAATTGAAGTTAAAATTCTATCTTCGACTAAATCTCTAATACAAAACACGGGATGCGCCTATGTATGTATCATCATTTCATCATCATTATCCTGCCCTTCTCCCAGTCACCTGGGGTCGGCGCAACATGTTTTCTCCTTCCATACTCTTCTATCATATACCATTTCTTCGCTCACTCCCTTCCTACCCATATCGTCTTTCACACAATCCATCCATTTCTTTTTAGGTCTACCTCTTCCTCTATAACATTTAAATTTAAAATTCTTAAAAAAAATCCTGCTGTTACGAAAAAATTGCCAAAAATTAAGAATAAAACAATTAAGAAGGGTTGACAACTTTAATCTTAATGCTCTTCTCGTGTATGAAATAAAGTAATTGCCCACTGAGCTTCTCGCCGGATCTTCTCAGTGGGTCACGATCCCGATCCGGTGGTAGATTCTGCGAAACACTGCTCATGCTAGGGCTAGTGTTAGCAAATTCTCTCAGATGGAGCCCGTGAGCTCAGCTACCCTTCCACGCGTAGCTGAAATAACCCCTTAGGCTACCTACGAATAAATAGGAAAAATATTCATTTCCACATCCATAATACTTCTATTGATTACTATCGTGAAAAGTAAAAGAAATTAATGTTTATATAACCGCAACCGAATATGCTTAGAAATATATTTACGTATCAATTTCAGGGAGCATATACAGGAGAGGAGCACGGCGGTGGCGGAAACTGTACCGTGTCAATGGACACATCTTTCAAGCTAAAAGATTTAATAGAGTGAGTTTTTGTTACCGTTATGTATTTTTTTATTTATTGCTTAGATGTGTGGACGAGCTCACAGCCTACCTATCTGATGTTAAGTGGTTACTGGAGCCCATAGACATCCACAACGCAAATGCGCCACCCACCCTGAGATATAAGTTCTAAGGTCTCAGTATAGTTACAACGGCTGCCCCGCCCTTCAAACCGGAACGCATTACTGCTTCACGGCAGGAATAGGCAGGGTGGTGGTACCTGCCCGCGCGGACTCACAACAGGTCCTACCACCAGTAAAACAACGTAAATAACAAACAACAACCTGGTCATGACTAATCCTCCATTACATCAAATATACTCATAAACTCTTATGAAAAGATTTTATTTTTTTAAATATCGAGTTTCCGTTTACGAATAACACTTAATTTCTTATATCCACAGCGCGCTTTCTGTGCCTTCTGCCAAGACCGCATCTGGGGCCTCGGAAGACAGGGCTTCAAATGCATCCAGTGTAAGCTGCTCGTTCACAAGAAGTGTCACAAGCTCGTGCAGAAGCCGTGCTCGAATGAGCATGTCGATCCCATTGAGGTCAAAGACGACGCGAACGGAGAGGCCACTTTGGGCCGGGCTTCTTCTGTCAGGTAAATAATATGAATGCCTATGTGTATGATTCATTTCGATAGTTATTATGTCTCACTCGCTCATTTCTCGTGCAGAAGTTGTCGTGGCCTAAAGGATAAGACGTCCGGTGCATTCGTATGTAGCGATGCAACGGTGTTCGAATCCCGCAGACGGGTACTAATTTTTCTAATGAAATACGTACTTAATAAATGTTTACGATTGACTTCCACGGTGAAGGAATAACATCGTGTAATAAAAATGAAACCCGCAAAATTATAATTTGCGTAATTACTGGTGGTATGACCTCTTGTGAGTCCACACGAGTACCTAGGTACCACCACCCCGCCTATTTCTGCCGTGAAGCAGTAAAGCGTTTCGGTTTGAAGGGTGGGGCAGCCATAGTAACTAACTATACTGAGACCTTAGAACTTATATCAGTGATAAATAGTAATAAAGAAAAAAATGATAAAATATCAGTAAATTAAAAAAAATCTCTCACAAAACTACATATTTATATCGTAGTGCCCGTTGCATAAGAAGTCGTTTTTGTTATATTTAAATTCATGAATGTAACCACTGCCACTAAAAAAATACATAAATAGGCAAAGGCAATCGCAATATTATAAGTTACTAGCTGTACCCGTCCGCTTCACTGGGCAGTTAAAATTAACATTATTATTTCTCACCCCCACAAAGATTCTCATCATTAACGCCCCCGCAAATGGTGTAGGGAGTTCAACGCTTATATAAATATTAGCCTATCCATTAAGTACATGTATTTTCTACATGGATACCAAGTTTCAAGTCAATCGGACGCACGGTTCAGTAGTTATAGCTGAACATCCGTAAAAACCACTAGATTTATATATTAGTATAGATTAGTATAGATTATATGAATAAGCAAAGATAAAGCTATTCAGTAACATTTTCTCTTACGTTTGTCAATCAATTTTCTCTTTTTTTTGTTCAGTTGCTTAACAACAAAAATATACATAATATATCTAGTTTAAAAACTAAAAAGAAACGCATAAGTAGCGAACCGAACTAACAACTAATTTCATATATTTTTATCCAGTCGATACTGGTCGCTAGTTTGAATCGTAAAAACTTTTAATTGTGGCTTTTTAACGGAATCTCGAAAACTGCGGAAAACACTAAACACTTACATCTTAATGTCTATAGATAAATGTCTTAATTTATAGAAGATTTAAATGTAAAATCATAAAAAAAAAAAAACAGAATGGAGTACAATATACAAAATGTTATCATTGAATTGCAATGATACGTTATCTGTGTTTGAGCTGTTGCTGTGGCCATCTAAGGTAATGTCAGCCGCTTACGTCGGTACGGTACCGATTTTTTCTGTAAGATTATGATTATATGTAAATATATCAATAGACCTGTGATTTCGTCCTTTTCTACTTTTTAGAAGAAAAAAATATATTTAATTTTTTATTGCTTAGATGGGTGGACTAGCTCACGACCCACCTGAGTGGATACCGGAGCCCATAGAGATCTACAACGTAAATGTGCCACCCACCTTGAGATATGAGTTCTAAGGTCTCAGCATAGATACAACGGCTGCCCCGCTCTTCAAACCGACACGCATTACTGCTCCACAGCAGAAATAGGCAGGGTGGTGGTACCTACCCGTGCGGACTCACAAGATGTCCTACCACCAGTAAAAACTGCTGTAAACGACTATTCCAGTGCTCCAATCTCGCAGACAAATCCATTTTTAATACGCTTTTATTAGCTTCAGACATGTATGTATGTTTGTAACGGAATCTTTGAACATGATTTTGACCCCCTTCAAAACGTCTGATTAACTCGAAATTTGGTATACTTATTAAGGTCCGATGACAATTCAATATTTAAATAAATATTGAGAAACAATATTGAATAAATTGAAATTCAACTAAAAAATGAAATATAAATAATAGTTACTAAATTTTAATAAATTTGAATTAAAAATAGTGTAAGATAAAATGATTTTATTGTAAAGAAGCGGGGGGTGCTTTTCATATTATCAAAATAACCCTTCTACTCATCATATCTGTTCATAAAATATTTATAACTACCATGCATTTTAATTCAAAATATTAAAATTTATTTTCTATTTTTTAGTTGAATTTTATATAAAAGCGTATTTTGTCAGTTTTTTTAAACTATTATTTATTGTTTCTAATTCAAAACGTGCTTTTGTTAAGCGAAAAAAACATATAAATTTAAATTGAGCTTTATTCGGTTGGTATAAGGTCTCGTGCGGAGGAGCAGCCCCCTCTGCCGGAGACACCGCCGGCGCCGGCGCCCCCCGCCCGCCCTGAGGAGCTGGAGCCGGGCTCGCAGCGGCAGTACTCGCTCGACGACTTTGAGCTCATCAGGGTCATCGGACGTGGCTCTTATGCCAAGGTATGAAACGAAAAAACTTCACCATATTTGATTAAGGAAACTCCAACAATTGTCTGCCAAACAATGTGTAACTATAATAACACCACAAATCCTCTTCTCGCATTAAAACTGTATAATCTTAAAACTTACTAATTTTACAGGAGAGTGTTTTAAAGGCTTAACATATGATATTTTTAATGTTAATCATCTTTGCAAAATTTCTTTTTTACCAGTTACATTATCTGTCTTTTAAAGTAGGATAAAATTATGTATTAATTTTGTTAATAGTAGTAAACATAGATAAACTAAAAAAAATCGGGCCAGACATTACTGTGCTGTTACTGTACAGATTTTCTTACTGGACCTCTTGTGAGTCCGCACGTGTAGGTACCACCACCCCGCCTATGTCTGCCGTGAAGCAGTAATACGTTTGTTGGGGTTCAAGGGGAAGTTTGTAGAGTTCCAAGGAGTTAGTATGTTGTTTGAGCACATTTATTATATTGGTTAAGCACAGATGGTAACGTCTTAACGAGTGCGTGTTGCTAAGTGCACTACGCCAAGAATGCAATAAAATAACCTGACACCACATTGACGACGCACGGTGTGTCAACGTATTGGTTAGGTATGTACAAACCGTACAGCGTTTCGGTTTGAAGGGTGGGGCAGCCGTTGTAACTATACTGAGATCTTAGAACTTATGTCTCAAGGTGGGTGGCGCATTTACGTCATAGATGTCCGTAGACAGCTCCAGTAACCACTTAACACCAGGTGGGTTGTGAGCTCGTTACTCGATCGATACATCTGTGTGCTTAGCGATCGATATATTTGTATGGAGTTGGGACGTTTGCCTATGTTTGCCGCTAGGTGCGCTGTTCGGACTATACAAATTTGAGTTAACTCTTACGCTATCGAGAACGTTAAAAAACTCGCACTAAGCACACAACACTCTCTACATATCTATACTAATATTGTAAAGAGGAAAGATTTGTTTTTTTTGTTTGTTTGTATTGAATAGGCTCCGAAACTAAAGAAACGATTTGAAAAATTCTTTCACTGTTTGGAAGCTATATTATTACCGAGTAACATAGGCTATTAATTTTTTTTTTAATTAGTCTTCCTTATTGAAGCTCCAATAATGTAACCCAAGGTGTAAAAAAAATACCTAAAATATTCTTTACATCGCGTACCCTGCGAAAACTATCGATGATAAAATAAAATAATGTACTACGACTATGTAGAACACAATATTATTTACAAAAAGTGTCACCGACAGCATATGTCTAACTATTATGCCGCAGTAAGTGTTCTTTTTACAAAAAAAATAAAACAATGTCAAACATCGTTGAAATTTTTGTTAAAGACCCGAGCGGAGCCGGAGCGGTCCGCTCGGGTCTTTAACACAGTTTATTATTTTGTTGTTTTTATAATGTATTCAATAAAAATCCAAACGTAAAATTAATATTTCAGGTGCTGATGGTAGAATTAAAACGCACGAAGCGCATATACGCTATGAAGGTGATAAAGAAGGCGCTCGTCACCGACGACGAGGACATCGACTGGGTTCAGACTGAGAAGCACGTGTTCGAGACCGCCTCCAACCACCCATTCCTGGTCGGCCTGCACTCCTGCTTCCAAACACCGAGCAGATTGTTCTTCGTGATCGAGTTCGTCAGGGGAGGGGATCTGATGTGAGTCGACATTGCGTTTATATGTCTATAATTCAGGGTCTCACTGTTAACGAATGTCGCGACCCCCGAAATACGCCTTACCACCAGAGTATCAGGAATATGAGATGTTTTAGGAAAGAGCTCACTATTAATCCGTAGTATATGAGAGACGGAGAGAGGGAGAGACGGAGAGAGCGAGAGGGGGAGAGAGAGAGTATTCTTTATTCAACACCAAAAAAAAAAAAACAATGCGAAACATTAAATACAAAAAGGCTTTTAGTTTTACTAGATCGTTGTTTTGTTTCCCAAACTAGACTATAATTAGTTAGTAAGAAGTGGCTCGTAGTGAGTGAGTGAGGCGGTGCCGCGCGCAGGTTCCACATGCAGCGTCAGCGGCGGCTGCCGGAGGAGCACGCGCGGTTCTACGCGGCCGAGATCTCGCTGGCGCTGCACTTCCTGCACGAGCGCGGCGTCATCTACCGCGACCTCAAGCTGGACAACGTGCTGCTCGACCACGAGGGACACATCAAGCTCACCGACTACGGAATGTGCAAGGTGCGACGACTCTTTAGACCTGAATATGTACTCTGCACTCTGACGCAACGGACACCCTCACACACAGCCCACTGAGTTTCTCGCCGGATCTTCTCAGTGGATCGCGTTTCCGATCCGGTGGTAGATTCTGCGAAGTACGGCTCTTGCTAGGGTTCGTGTTAGCAACGTCGTCAAGTTTGAGCCCTGTGAGCTTACCTACTAGTTAAGGCGACACTGATATAGCCTCTCAAGGCAATTTTTTTTCTTTTTATTGATGCACAAAACAAATTACATACATAGAAATTATAAGTTTAAATGATTAACATAATAATCTGGATTGTAATTCAAAACAGGTGCATACAAAAAAAATTAACTACTGAACAGATGCCTAAATACCATGTACATACACACACACACACACACACACACGCACACAACCGCACGCACACACACTCAAGCACATATGTAAGTTACTATCTGATTAAATTATATCAGCTTCGGGAGGAAAAAAAAGCAACGGACCGTCTCGCTAATCAATGGCTTACTAGCCTGTGCTCCAAAATCGAATATACTCCATGATGGTTGGCAGTCGTCGTGGCCTAAAGGATAAGACGTCCGGTGCATTCGTATCAAGCGATGCACCGGTGTTCGAATCCCGCAGGCGGCAATTTTTCTAATGAAATACGTACTTAACAATTGTTCACGATTGACTTCCACGGTGAAGGAATAACATCGTTTAATAAAAATCAAACTCGCAAAATTATAATTTGCGTAACTACTGGTGGTAGGACCTCTTTTGAGACCGCACGGGTAGGTACCACCACCCTGTCCATTTCTGCCGTGAAGCAGTAATGCGTTTCGGTTTGAGGAGTGGGGCAGCCGTATTGACGTCTGGTTACCGAAACATAAATGTGAGTGTATGTTTGTATTGATGAATGGAACGTACCCCAAACGGCTGGTGGGAATGTAACATTAACTCGTGATGTCCAGGATCGTTATCGTGATCTGTGTGACTATTGCGAGTTTTTTAACTTCTCGATCGCGTAAAATTTAACTCAAATTTGTATGGAGTTCGAACAGCGCCTCTGGCTGCAAACGAAGTCGAATAGTTCCAACTTCATACAAAGTGAGTTAACTTTTACGCCATCGAGAACGTTAAAAACTCGCTCTAAGCACACTGTACATTACTAAAGGAGGGAGTGCGTCCTGGCGACACGACCTCTACGTTCTGCGGCACTCCCAACTACATCGCGCCGGAGATCCTCCGCGGCGAGGAGTACGGCTTCTCCGTGGACTGGTGGGCGCTCGGGGTCCTCACGTACGAGATGTTGGCTGGCAGATCGCCCTTCGACATCGCCCAAGCTGCCGACAACCCCGACCAGAATACAGAAGACTATCTCTTCCAGGTACACTATAATATTATACTTTTTTTGACATCAACAGACAATGCCTCGTTTATTACTAGATAAATACTAATTGTAAAGAACTAAAATATAAAATTATATTTTAAAATTATAAAGTTTTATAAACGTTGAAAATTGCGATATCTGTGTTCTTAGTGCGAGTTTTTTAACTTTACGTTTGCCGCTAAGGGCGCTGTTCGAACTCCATACAAATTTGAGTTAACTCTTACGAGATCGAGAAGTTAAAAAACTCTCACTAAACAAACTGAATTTAGCGTGCTAATATCGACTAGTTCTGGTACGGGTGGAATTATCCCAGACACAGTCAACTGAGTTTCTCGCCGGATCTTCTCAGTGAGTCGCGTTTCCGATTGTAGTAGTTCCGTCCTGTAGTAGATTTTGCGAAGCACCGCTTTTGCTAAGGCCAGTGTTAGCAACACCTCTGGTTTGAGCCCCGTAAGCTCACTTATACATTAGGGTAAAGCTGAAATAGTCCTTCAAGGCTATCAGCATAGGTAGAAAAAAGAAAAAAAAAACGGTGCCCGTGAAACTTGGTGCACGTAAATGAAGTAAAACTTCTTTTTCGATGTGTCGTATTGTGGTTTTCTTCATTTTTCATACTTTCCATCCATTCATGCTCTTGTAATAGGGAATGTTGTGTATTAGTCTACGGACACGAAACTTGCGATGGCCGAGCGATGGCGACAGCGGCGCGACGGTGATGTATACAAAAGCATTGCACAGTATGGGGACGGGCACGAAACGGGCGATGGCGGAGCGGGGCGATCGAGCGATGTACGGGCGATGATGGGGCGACGGCGACGCGGAAGCGACGAGAACAAACTACTTTGGTTTCGTCGCTTGCGCGGGTACACAGTGTTGTGTTCAGTTCTTATTTTAGTAATGGAAATTGATAATGAGGAATTTATAATTTAACAAGGAATTTAAAATTTCATTGAATGACAGACACCTTAGCTCGTAATAAAGCGTAGAAAATTCTCCCAAATTGCGTCTTCGTTGATTTATTGGATGAACACCATCTGTAGGTAATAATAATTATCTCGATAGGAGACTAAGCTCCAATAGTTCTCTTCGACGTAAACTCATGATTCGCACAACACTGCTCAAGCGCGACTGCCCGCCAGCTTGTTTCGTGCCCGCGCGAGATATCGCTGCCTACCCGCTCCGTGTCGCGTCGCCCCGCTGCCGCCATCGCTCAGCCATCGCAAATTTCGTGCCCGTAGACTAAGAGATGCGACATCTACAACATTTATATTATATATATTTAAATTATAGATAGAATTTTTTTGTTAAATATTCCATTAAAATATTGAACGCTACTCGTTTCTAACACTCGCGCTAGCCTATAACAGGTATACTACGCGCATGCGCTCGAGTGCCACGCATTCACTCTCGCTCTGTCTCTTTCTAGTATGGTTGCGTTAAACGTATAACGCAACCTTATTGGAAGTCGCATTAGAAGATTAACTTTAAAAAAAAAGGTTATTTTATTTTTTTATTGCTTAGATGATTGCACGAGCTCACAGTCCACCTGGTGTGAAGCGGTTACTGGAGCCCATAGACATCTACGACGTAAATGCGCCACCCACCTTGAGATATAAATTCTAAGATCTCAAGTATAGTTACAACGGCTGCCCCACCCTTCAAACCGAAACGCATCAGTGCTTCACGGCAGAAATAGGCAGGGTGGTGGTACCTACCCGTGCGGACACACATGAGGTCCTACCACCAGTAAAGTACGAGTGTCCTCAACCACGGCCCGGCGGCGCAACGTTTTCCAGGTGATATTGGAGAAGACGATCCGTATCCCGCGCTCGCTGTCCGTGAAGGCGGCCTCGGTGCTGAAGGGCTTCCTCAACAAGAACCCGGTGGAGCGGCTCGGCTGCGGCGAGAACGGCTTCCTCGACATCGTCAACCATCCCTTCTTCAAGAGCATCGAGTGGGAGATGGTCAGTACCAAATAACAACCTAGCAATACCGATCTTGATTCCTATAAAAATTTTATACCCGATCTTGTAGACAGAATCAGCCGAAACAGCCAACGTCTAAACACGTCATTATGGATCCTCCCGATCCATTAACAGTGATTTTAGGTACCTCAAGCACCGATCACCGTCCTCGCCATATCCGTCGTTTGCGACGAAGGGTTCGGCGAGTAAATTAAGCCATTGACACAGCCCACTGAGTTTCTCACCGGATCTTCTCAATGGGTCGCGTTTCCGATCCGGTGGTAGATTCTGCGAAGCACGGCTCTTGCTAGGGTTCGTGTTAGTAACGTCATCAGGTTTGAGCCCCGTGAGCTCACCTACACGTCAAGGAGAAGCTGAAATAGCCTCTTAAGGCTATCAGTATAGGTAGGAAAAAAAAGAGAAAAGAAAAAAAGTTTTTTTTTTTTTTTTTCAAAATAATGTCCTACATAAATCTCTAATGCGGCGTTCTAACTTAACCGAATCCATATTGCCGCGTCGAATCATAAAATAGTTTACTGGAGCCTTTTCATTTATCGGTGCTTTTCTAGAGACCTTTTTTACCGAGTAACATTCGATTTTACAATGAACTCTCCTTTATCTGATTGCTGTGTATAAAAAGACTTATTAACAATCTAGTCCGCCAAATAATAATTTTAATTGTGAGGAGATAAATACCTCGGGCATTGAGGATCAAGGATCACATCAAAGGATATCCACATCTTTAGAACTGAAATAGCTTAACTAAAGATTTTTTTTTTATAAAAAATAGTAAATTTTAGATTTTAGTTAGAAAAGAACAAAGTGCACTTTCCATCTCTTAACTCCAATACCTTAAACATTAAGTGATGCGTTAAGATTTAAAGTATTAAAATCGAACCTGTACATTTCTTCAATTACTTTTTTGGTGTTTACCAAAAAACAAAAAGTTTGGATTAAGCAACATTAATTCTAAAGGTGCGATATTTTTTCAAAATTTCAAATCTGTAAGTAAACCGCTTCGGGTTATGTGCAGTCAGACAACCACGGAGACGCTTGTACGGTTAAGGAGGAGTAGAGGGGGACAAAAGATATCGAATGCAGCTGACCTCTCGCTCACTCCTGTGAGCTTCAAAATGGGTACATTTTTAAATTAATAATTATGTAATTTCACAGTTGGAGCAGAAACAAGTGGTGCCTCCGTTCAAGCCTCGTCTGGAAGGCGAACGGGACCTCGCCAACTTCCCGCCGGAGTTCACCGACGAGCCCGTGCATCTCACGCCCGATAACGAGTACGCACTTATTGTATTATTTAACTTTTTTTTATTGCTTAGATGGGTGGACAAGCTCACAGCCCACCTGTACATCCACAACGTAAATGCGCCACCCACCTTGAGATATAAGCTCGAAGGTCTCAAGTATAGTTACAACGGCTGCCCCACCCTTCAAGCCGAAACGCATTACTGCTTCACGGCAGAAAAAAGCAGGGTGGTGGTACCTACCCGCGTCGACTCAAAAGAGGTCCTACCACCAGTAGTTACGCAAATTTTAATTTTGCGAGTTTGATTTTTATTACACGATGTTATTCCTTCACCGTGGAAGTCAATCGTGATCGTTTGTTGAGTACGTATTTCATTAGAAAAATTGGTACCCGCCTGCGGGATTCGGACACCGTTGCATCGCTCAACACGAATGCACCGGACGTCTTATCCTTTAGGCCACGACGACTAACTGTAACATACTTGTAGTATACATACATAATACACCCATAATTAACAATTATTACTTTATTTTCAAAGAAAAACACTCAAAACTAAGTTCATTTCAAATTAACATGATCAATATATAGAAAGCATTATTCAAGACAAAGTTCGATATTTCGAATCGCACAGATAATACATTCGAAATAAATACATATTATAACATGGCAACACTGAGTCTAGTGTCTCGACGCATGATTTACTTGTGTGGACTTTTTGGCGGGAACGCGAGGAATGAAGTTGTGCGATTTGTTTTATTTTGTCTATTTAGTGTTTCTTCGGGTTTAAAAGTGTAATAACGGTGGTTTATAGACCGTTTAATATCTGTGACAGTGCACAAATGTGGGAAAATGAAAAAAAGCCGCTGGACGTACCTTCTCGGGATCCTCCAAAAAGTCCACTGAAAAAATCTCAGTAAATAACCACCATTTTACTGAGATTATATTTCATCTCATATCATCTCATCTTATTTCATTTAATTTCATCCCAGTTGATTAATGTCTCAAACTAATCATCTTCATTTCATTTTACTCCATATTATTATTTTTCATAAAAATAAGAATATAAATTAAAATAAGAAATGACTTAAAGGTCTTAGTTACCAGGTCATGAAATCCGTTAAAAAAACACGGTGCATGATTTACCTTGTGTCTTATGTTTCTCAGGAGCGTGATCGCCGACATCGACCAGTCGGAGTTCGAAGGGTTCGAGTACGTGAACCCGCTGCTGATGTCCCTGGAGGACTGCGTGTGACAGCACGCCTGCCTGCTGCACCCGTACCACGAGCCCGGGACGGTACGTCTGCCCTTGTCTACTTCAGCCTAGTTCGGACTAGACGACTATTTTAGTCGAGTACCGAGTAATTTAGTGGCTAATCTATTCGCTACTGCACAGAAATCGTTCGTATTACGGTCCAGTACCGTACACAAGTGAGTGGTGTTTTGCAAGATGAACAGGCTGCAAAGCAATAGAGTGAATAAACTGATTATGCTAATCGTAATGGCTATTTTAGAACAGGTGGATGAGGAAATTTCTGTGATTAAGAAAAATAAGTTATGGGTACGAAAATGGATCGATAGAAGAGATAAACTAGGAATTACTAAATGTCTTCTGAAGAAATTAGCATTTGAAGAGATCCCAAAGAATACTTAGATAGTTTGAGAATGTCCGAAAGTTGTGTGAATTTTCTGTTAACGAAAATACACTCTCAAATTCAGCGCAAAGATACCCATTTGAGAAGTGCCACTAATGAACTCGACTAATCAACAGGTTCGGACTTGTTTAGTCAGTGAGCCAGTGAGAAAGGACGCGTGGTGGAAAACACCACTCACTTGTGTACTGTACTGGACCGTAATGCAAACGATTTCTGTGCAGTGGCTCAGCCATTCAATTACTCGGTAGTCTACTAAAATACTCGTCTAGTCTGAAATAGGTTTTACTGACGGTAACGTTGGATGAGGCCGCCCCCCTCCCCTACCATTCTGCCTATTTCTGCTGCGAAACGAATTTCCGTTCCCGTTTGAAGTCAGGGGCGGCGGTCACAGCGGAGTGAGTGACCGTGAGTATAACATCGGCTCTTCCCTGCGCAGGGCTACGGGTACGGCGCGGAGTCGTCGTCGTCGGACTACGACTCGGTGTGCTCGGAGGCGCCGGCGCGCCGCCCCACGCTGCTGCAGCACATGTTCTGCTTGCCGCTCAACTGACGCAAGCCTCGCCCCCCGCCCCCCACCCGCGCTCCTCACCAACACCCACTCAACTAACAATGTTATTCCGAATGTTCATTGATCGACCTACTCCCGGCTAACCCTTTTAATTCCTTATTACATACCGCGATTCGAGTTTTTGCACTTAATTATGTTTTCTTCTTTGCTTCACGCTGTTTTATTTGTTGAGCAGTTATTTAAGAACTCATTAACATAACCCAAATGTTAATCATTGGTAAAATCAATATTACAGACCCCCTACGTACCTAAATTTCATATAAAAATCTTTACACAAATAAATACAAATGCTCTTTAACTTAAATACCAAGATAGAAGTTCAACTGCATAGTGATGTAAAATAATATATATACAAATATAATGATAGTGTTTCTCATAAACTTTTAGCCCTAATGAAATTCAAAATGGCGAGAGCGAGCGAAATGGCGCTATGTCGTATTTACAATTTTAGATTATAAAATAGTATAATATTCCTCGTTACAACTAATATTAAATTTAAGATTCTACCACCGGTTCTCTCGTACTAACGGAAGTTGTAAACATTACGGTGCTCAAGAATTAACTATCACTCTATAATTGTAGGGAGCGAACACTTACACATAATCGATTCTCAATCGATACGTAGCTTCGTGTACATAATTTTGATCGTTTATGTATAACACAACTTATTTTTAAACTTGTAGTATATCTATCTAATAGATCTTCGTGTAAAAAGTGGATAAATTGTCAAAGGCTTGTTATTTCGCTCTTCCAAAATTATCGATACAGATAATCGATTTTAATCTTAATTAGCTTATAATATTAGTGGAAAAAAAAATAGTAGTTCTTTTTAAATACAGTATCGTGAAGGAAATTTGATTCCCTCATAATGAATGCGTTAAATAAAAATTATAATCTGGCTGTAAAGATATTTAAGGAATGCAAGAATATAATAATAATATTAATATTATAATTATCAATAAGTAAGCTGTGGTCGGTAATTTTCAGATATTTCAAATATGTAATAGTAAGTATTAGAATGTTGTATGTATGTAACCAATATTTGTAATACATAAAGTGTAATGTTATCGAGCGAAGTTTATCTGATCGTAGTTAAATTATTATTTATCGAGACAGTTTCGATCTGCTCAAACGAAAGGCACGCGAGGAATTAAAAGTAGTGAAATGATAATGTCAGTGGCTCTAAAAAGCCCTTATCAATTGTTTAGTGTATTCCCTAGCAACCTAGACGTAAGATAGCTGTACCCTTGTCGATGGTGTGCCGCATAACAAATACATCATGTTTATAACTGAAGCTATCTATCTGTTCGAATACAATAGTCATGTAAACAAAAATACCTTGTTCTTTTATCAATATCCTCTGGATTCAAAAAGGAATAAATAATAATTCATAAATCGTCAATATATGGTCAGTGTACAATATTCTTATTCCATTTCTGCGGTACACTTGCTTCATGATGTTGTACATAAAACAATTAGCGTCACTCGATGTTGTAATAATAATCCTTAAAGTAGATTCTATTACCCTTCCTAGCAACACACAGCTCGTTTAGGTAGCCAACAAATTTTATATAAAAATTATAATACTTGCACATAAATTTAAAATCTTGTACATTATAAATAAATTGTTAAACAGTAGGAAGAGGGACTTGTTATAATGAAATTGTTGATAAATCTATGGGTGGAGCCCGAAGGCAAAGTTCAAACTATTCTAAATAAAGCTTAGTTAAACTCTACTAGACATTGCACCAATACGTATTATAGTGATACACGCGTGGTAAATCTTTCCAACTTCATATTTTCTTTTTAAAAGTCTTTTGAAAGACGTAAAGTGAGTTTAAAAATATTACATTCCAAATATATTATCCAACAGAAATTTTAATAAGTATATAATAAAAATTATGGATAGTCTATGAGAACATTTAAGATTGTTATCTATGCACATTGCAGAGTATGTAACTATTATATTAATATAATCTAAAAGACAGTATTGATTCTATTATAGTAAAATAATTTAATCAATGTAAACTATTTAATGAAATGGCTATATTACTTAAGAATATTTATATTGTATAACGTTTGTTTGCGGATTCTTGTATTATAAAATATCTATTCAGGTTTACTTATTGGCGCTAATGAACTAATAATCTAATCAGAAGTATTCACATTTTAAGAAGCCTTTGATTTTCTTTTACGGATTAGTTGGAGCAGACCAGTGCGGAGCGGCGCTTGGCTCGAACATGTCTAGTTATTTTTTTATTTATTTAGTATTAAATAATTATAGAGTAACAGTATTCGGTACCATACAATAAAGTTTTAGATTTATCGTATAGTCCAATGTCTAAAAGTTATTATTTTGATTTTGACAGTTTGCATGGAAGAGATTTTTCATAAATACCGCCTTAAACATGCATTACAGAGCAAAGCAAATGTTTTTCAAAATTAATTATTAACCGACGAAAGGGCTTATAAATATCAGTGATCCAAGTAAATATATTTATCAAGAAGATTAAATTAAGTGCCTACCTACTAAAGTGACAGGTTTTATAGACGCCATTCAAACGTGCTTTTTTCATATTATTTCCCGCCAAATATTTTCTCATCACATCTAGATGATAAATAAAATAAGAACCATTAATTTTCGAACGATCCCAAAAATGAAACTTTTAGTACTCAAAAATACAGATTATAATAATGTTAAATACCGTAAATGACATTTATCACGATTAGTCAGTAAGTATTAATAAAAGGAACAAATAAATATGATTTAAGTTTTAGTTTGAATGTATCGCACTTGTATTTTACGTGTAAGTTTGATTTGCTGGTTGGACAGCACCGATGTTACTTAATGTTTATAATGTATGCAGCTTGGTGCGCTCATGGATACTGTCAAATTAGACTGGAAAAGTTGGGATACTGTACTATTCTATGCTTAAATGAAAATAAAGAAGTTAAATGAGAATTTATTCTTGTTATTGAACTGGATCCACCCTAAAATTTAATAAAATGTATGTTATAAAGCAGTAGAAAAACTATCTTTTTCTAAGGAAATTTATACCTAACGAACGACTTTTGCGTTGTAAGAATAACATCGTTGAACAAGATAAGTCGCAAAAAATATAATACGTATGCATGCATATGCAATATGCATAATTACTGAAGTCCATGATAGAACAGTTAGAGACGCAAAACAATTGGCCGAATATACATTATAAATAGTATTGGTGTGACTGAAAATCTGAATTAGAAGTGGTGCATCAGAGGCTAACAGTAGGTATAAAAACAACACAAATTACACTTAAGGCTTTATTTCAACAAAAATACACATCTGACTAAAATATGATTATTACATATTCTGCATTTCGTCCAAGTATCTTTCAAACATATAAGTACAACATAGATGCATATTACTGCAAGCATCACTAATCTTTTTTTCAAAAACATCACACTCTTTTAAACAATAGAATAAACATTTGAGTAAACAGAATAATACAATCAATTATATCCGCACGGTTCGGACATTGAAATATTACAATAAATGTTATTTTAATAAACCGTCACACGGCAGAATAATACTAAAAAATAATACTGTTAAATTACAATGAGATTGAAATAAGAATGGTCATTAGGATATAGACGCTAAGGACCAGGCTTAGTATGTTCAAAGTCAGGGTTTCTCAAAGTTATCATTTAATAAAGTATATCTTAGATGTACCTAATCAAAAGAAAGAATTTCAAGTTATTATTCATACATTATTCATACATAGCAATTTAAAATTGAAAACAGATCATAAATTTGCTATCACAACAAAGAAATAAGAAAACAATTTAACACATTTCTTTTCAATAAACTAAATATGCCTGAATTTTTTAAAGAACCGAACTATTTTTATTGATAAAATTCAAACTTAAATAAAGTATATTATCTTGAATACTTAACTTTCTAAATTATTTCAACTTTCAATAAATTATAAATGCATTATTTAAAGGAACTGAATTATGGCATTTCAGGCTGGTTCAATCATGAACATTTATAGCCCTCAAAATTAACTTAAAACACTTCTTGAAATATCTAACGTAAACTTAAGTAAGAGAAGTTAAGTAAACTTAAGTAGCAAATAATATATTTTGAGATTGCTTTTGATAATTAGGACATTAAGAAAAGTACTATTGAATTGTTTGTCAATATACCTTTGATCACGAATTCAATCACTTGACAGTAGAAACTATCACTGAGTGTGCAAAAAAGGTAAGATGAGTAAAATATTTTAAACCTTAATATTTTGTAAAGAAAATAGTTCATTATATATAAGTTTCGTTCAGTAAAGTGGAAACTGTTATGATAAAAAAAATATTTATATGAAAATAGTTGGCATGAAAATTCTGAAAGGCTGCGTAATACTATTAAAATAACCATACATATTTGTAGCAAATATTTAAATGTTAACGAACGCAACTTTATTAATACAATACAGAAGTAGCTATTTAATTTGGAACTGTCCATATTGAACACGCAGTGATTTATCTTATTAGCCTATTGAGATCTATGGGGTGGGTTGATTTATTGATCGCCATTTTCTTGGTCCAATTTGGGCTTCTTAAACGCAGGGGCGCCGGCGAACATCGATCCGTCACGGAGCTCGCTCATTAGAAACGGTACCTAATTCGTATTAAAACTAAGCTAAAATATAATTACAATATATATAGTTTCCACACAGACAGCACGAAATTTTGGTAAAACTTTGAGAATCGCAGATTTTGTGAGATTTCAACTGTGCTGAATATTTTCAGGTTATCATTATTTCTCTACTTACCAAGGACAATACGGTTTGTTTATTTAACATTATTAACTAAGTTTTAAAAATATGTTTGTCGATTTTAATTTGTTTTGTGTTTAAGACAAGTTCAAGACAATTAATTAGTTCTGAGTATTAGTCGCATTACAAACGTGATTTTTATACTCTTAAACCGGAACTGAACTTAAACGGTTCCTATGCAGCAGGAACGGGTAGGATGAACGGTTCGCGCGCACAGCACACTTTATCACACATTTTACTTGTAGTAGGACCTCTTATGAGTCCGCGCGAGTAGCTACCACCAGCCTGCCTATTTCAATTGTGTAACCATTGTAATTGTTAAACTATACTGACACCTTAGAACTCATATCTCAAAATGGGTGGCGAATTTACGTTGTAGATATCTGTGGGCTCCCGTAACAACTTAACACCAGGTGGGCTATGAGCTCGTCCAACCAACTAAGCAATAAAAAAAAGATGAGAATTAAAAAAAACGTAATACTATTTATGAGAACACCGGATTCGTATTATTATTTATCACGTCATTACGGGATCCTCCCGATCCATTATCGGTGCTTTTAGATACCACAAGCACCGGTCACCGTCCTCGTCGAACCCATCGGTTGCGACGAAGGGCTCGACGAGCGAATTAACCCACAGAAACTGCTCAGTGAGTTTCTCGCCGGATCTTCTCAGTGGGTTGCGTTTCCGATCCAGTGGTAGATTTTGCGAAGCACGGCTCTCGCTAGGGTCAGTGTTAGCATCACTTCGGTTTGAGCCCCGTGAGCTCACCTACTAGTTAAGGTTACGCTGAAATAGCCTCCCAAGGCTATAGGTAGAAAAAAAAATTAAATAAATAAGGGTATACCGTATACCTTATGCTCGAGCTGCATGTTGTGTAGACAGGGCAGGCCGAGGCAGGCGCGCAGCAGGTTGTCGATGCAGGCGCGCTGCTTGGACAGCGCGTTGACGACGGGCGCGCCCGGCGGCACCAGCGGCGCCTTCAGCAGGTAGGCGAGCGGCGACAGCGCGGGGTGCAGCGCCGCCCACGCGCCGCCCGCCCGCAGCGCCACGCGCCCCAGCAGCTCCGCCAGCACCGCCAGGTCCAGCAGCAGCGGCGCCGCCAGCAGCGAGTCCTCGCACGTGTTGTGCACCACCAGCGTGTTCGTGCCGTGCAGCAGGATCTCCGACGTGTACTCGTCCATGGCGCGCTTCGAGTCACCTGGACCAATCGACGACATTTACTACTACCATACAAACTGTTATCCTATGACTATCAGAATATTTAATAAGATACCAAACAGCATAAGAGATCTTCCACTAACTCAATTTAAAAGAAAATTATATTTATGGCTAATAGACAAGGCTTATTATAGTGTGCAAGAATTTTTAAATGATAAGTGTTGTACATAATAAAATATTAGAATAAGAAGTGATAGAATGTAAAAATAGATAGATTTAGTAAATTTTGTGTTAGAATTCATATAAAAATAAATTAAATTTTCGCATGCCTAAACAGGCGAAATATATGAAACTATGTCCTATATCCATAATATCTTGTAAACTATATTTCTGGCGAATAAAGATTTTCTTGCTTTCTTTCTTTCTTTCTTAGTAAATATTATTAGAAATAAAACGGATAGTGGTTTAGCCGGATACCGGATACCGGATACCGAATATTTGGCAAGCTGTGAGGCCGGAGCGCCGGATATTCAGCCCTTTCGGAAATATTCGTGCGCGTTCGGGTATTGTCGCACGTGAACGGAAATCGCGACGTCTCGGTACGACGATGATTTGGTATTCATTCACCACAATTTGCCACTTGTTAATTTTGAGTATTAAACAAACTAATTAATAAAACAATCACTTTGACGTGTAATTACAAAAATAAAAGTTGTCCATAACCTATTGTGGTATTATTTCGTATAAACATTTAATTTTCTTAAATTTTACTATACGAAATTCGGCCGGATACTGATTTACTAACCTTTATCCGGCCGGATAGTGAAAACTTGACCGGATAGGCCGGATACCGGATAGTTACCGGACTGAGTCATGCTCTAAGTGACAGTAACTTCAACATTTAAATCCAAATTATCTAGTTTCGTTCTCGCATGTCGCTGACTGCGTTCACTACTGAGGCGGGCACTCACCGACGTAGGGCACGTACTTGATGACGACCACGTGGTCGGGGCGCTCCCCGGGCCGGTACAGCACGCCGTTCGACTGCACCGCGTCGTCCACCACGCTGCTCTTGCTGATCTGCCGCAGGGAGGAGGGACGCGTCACTCGACCACGCGGAGATAGACATACGAACTTTAAAGGTCCGTTCACACAGACCGACTCGGAGAGGAGAAAAATTTTTAACAAGTTGGAAATAGAGATTTGAGTTTTTTTTTTATTGCGGCTGGTGATAAGTGGTTACCGGAGTCGATAGACGTCTACAACGTAAATGCCGTCACCCACCTTGAGATAAGAGTTCTAAGGTCTCAGTATTATTGCTTCACGGCAGAAATAGGCAGGGTGGTGGTACCTACCCGTGCGAACTCACAAAAGGTCCTACCACCAGTAATTACGCAATTTATAATTTTGCGATTTGGTTTTAATTACACGATGTTATTCCTTCACCGTAGAAGTCAAGCGTGAACATTTGTTAAGTACGTATTTCATTAGAAAAATTGGTACCCGCTTGTGGGATTCGAACATCATTGCATCGCTAGATACGAATGCACCGGACGTCTTATCCTTTAAGCCACGACGACTTCGAGAGTAATTGTAGTAAAGTTTATTTTGCATGTTCATTTTTTTTGTCATTAAGTGCTTGAACGCGCTGCGTGTGGAATAATAAGAGGAGCCGACTGACTCCGATTGTGCGCTCTTTCTCGCTCGCGTAGCCGATCGGTTTTTAGATCTCTTCCGGCCGGTCTTTGTGGAATAGTAGGCGTCTCCCCTCCGACCAATTCTAAACGTATACGATCCGGTCTGTGCGAAAAGAAAAAAGGAGGCCGATGCTCTCCGAGTCGGTTTGTGTGAACGGACCTTTTTTTTTCCTACCTAAGCTGATAGTCTTGAGAGACCGTATCAGCGTCACTGGGCGATTAGGTGAGCTCAAGGGACTCAACCCTGACGACGTTGCTAACACGAACCCTAGCAAGAGCCGAGCTTCGCAGAATCTACCACCGGATCGGAAATGCAACCCACTGAGAAGATACGGCGAGAAACTCAGTGCGCTGTCTATGGGTTAATTTACTCGTCGAGCCCTTCGTCGAGCGACGGGTTCGACGAGAACGGTGACCGGTGCTCGAGGTACCTAGAAGCTCCGTTAGCGGATCGGGAGGATCCGAAATGACGTGTTTGGGGCGACGTCGACTGTTTACCATTCTGTCCGTAGGATCGGGAATGTAGTTACCGACGGGCCACGATGAGAGGGTTCTCGTGTCGTGCCGCTTTATCGAAATGGCAAATGACTCTAAGACACCACTTTTATTTAACTAGCCACTTAACCAGGGGGAGGGGGGGGGGGGTGATGAAAGCTGCTCGAGTGCTTTCGGAGGAGTGAGAAAGGACAAGATCAGGCAAGCAACTCTGCCAATTGATCAACAAGCCACACTTGTCCAGTGTGACGCGTATAAATTTAAAAGGGTTAAATTCCTTAAAATTACTTATGTCTATGTGGAACAGTGGCTGACGCCCGCAACAACAAAGTCTATGGAACTCACCTCTTTCGAGCGGAACTGCTTCGGAGCGGAGAGATTCTTACCGTCGTTGTTGCCGAGATGGTTGTAGCTCACTATCGACACTGGTTTCAGACCTTGAATCACAGATAATTAATTCCTAGACATATTAGGTTCAGTGTTGCCATGTTCAAACCATTTTAGTGGACCATTTCAATGATCATTTGATCGTAAATCTGGCTGTTCCTAATGACAATGACCTCTACAGAATTTGAGTTCCTAGGTTATTTGAAAGAAATATCTGTGTACAGAACATATTAGCAATAAAAAATAATTCAATAAACTCACCAGCCGAAACCAAGAAGTCGACGAGTACTGATTTAAGCTTAGTTTGTCCTGATTTGAAGTCGTCGCCAGCCACAAAGACCCCTCGTTTCTCGGCCCGCTCTATGACGCCCGGGATCAAAGTGTTTTGCGGCGCGCCGTTGATATAGCAACACTGTTAGATATTCGATGGGTTAATTCCAAACTATTGAAAACACTCGACCTAGTATTTTAGTAGTAGACAAGTTGCCTGGAAGATATTGCTTTTTATTATTGCTTAGATTGGTTGATGAGCTCACAGACCACCTAGTGTTAAGTGGTTACTGGAGCCCATAGACATCTACGACGTAAATGCGCCACCCACCTTGAGATATAAGTTCTAAGGTCTCAGTATAGTTACAACGGCTGACCCACCCTTTAAACCGAAACGCATTACTGCTTCACGGCAGAAATAAGCAGGATGGTGGTACCTACAAATGGTACCTAACAATAAATGTGTATATGACACTCTATATACTTTTGTAGACTTTGTAATTTGTTTGTTTGTAATTGGTGACATTTCCATTATTAAGTTCTCTCAAGTTTATAATTTCAAAGTTTAGTCTCAAGTTTATAATTATTCAAGTTTGATTTTGTTCAGTTTGTCAAGTTTTTTGAGATGTTTTTTCTCATCGTATATATCGCCTGACCTTTAGCAATGTTAAGGAGCAAGCGCACGACAGGGTGAAGACAACTTGTGAGGGTCCTATGTACCAGCGGGGTACCCTAGGACTAGGACTACTACCACTACTATGTACCGTACCTATAATCAACTAGTCACTTCTTTAAAAACCTTGGTCGCGTCATTAAAAACACGGGCCGTTTTATCTAAACCAGTAACGTAAGACATACAAAACCCAAACCTCAATAACCGTATTGGTTGAATTTTTTGAACTTACTAAACCAAAGTTTCATAAAGACACTACGATTTATTTTAGAATATTGATATTTGTAGGTCTCCCACTGCTTTTGTAGATTGACATTGGCAGAGTCATTCGTCAAACAAGAGACTCGAGCCATAAATTGAAGTAAGTAAGTAAGTAAACCGTATTTGTTGTTTTTATTTTTATTATGGCTCTATCGATCTATTTAAGCATGATTCTAATTTATTTTTACTTTAGCAGCAACATTAGAATTAAAAAAAATATAAATGATGTTTTCGATTGGTTCACACCCTGTATATGACCATACTGCTATCGTATTAGTATCGCACTGCTCACCCCCTCGTCGACCGAAGCGAGCGCGATGATGGTGGACGGCGATATCTCCGGCTCGTTGTCCCGCAGCGCCTTCTCCAAGTTGTCGCTCGTGTCGTGCACGCCGTCGCGGACCTCGCAGAACCTATGTACAGAGTGTTGGTTTTTATTAATCTTTCTTCTTCTTTATTCTTTATTGTACACACAGTTAATACAATATAATAATTGCGAAAAGTTATAAAATGGCGAGCTTAACTCAACAATTGATTTTAATTTATCGTTTTATATTATTTTAAACCGACCACCAAATTGCCACATTCAAAGACACATCCTGACTGGTTCCCACCGCTGATCACTGTGAGGTAGGTAGGAAGTAGATTTTTATAGAACCTACATACGGTGTGTTGTTTTTTATTAATCTTTCATTTTATATTATTTTAAACCGACCATCAAATTGCTACATTCAGAGACACATCCTGACTGATACCCGCCACTGAGCACTGTCAGGTAGGTAGGAAATAGATTTTTTATAGAACCTACATACAGAGTGTTGTTTTTTTTACATTATTTTAAAAGAACCATCAAATTACCACAGAAATCAATTGATTTTTTTTATTGTGGCGTTGGCACATTTGAAAGTACAGCGGTAGCAGAACACCAGAGAAAGGCCTCCGGGCCACTAGTAATCTATCAAACATAAAAAAAGGTTTTAGCAAACCTTTCAGTGTTCGCCGTCCAGACAACTATGACTTTGTCCAGTTTGTTCTTATCCTTGAAGTCCTTGATATCGGCGCGGATTTGCAGGTACTGCTCGTATTTCGTGCCGTGGATGAGGTTCGTAGCACGATCGGCCTGAACGGAAAAACATAATTAATATAGAAATTGAAATTATGTACCTTGTGCACTTTATAATTACACTTCTTTTGGGGTGTTTTTTTTTGTGTCTATTAGCACGTATTAGCAGGCGCCGATTTTACACTTAATTATTTATTTCATTACCTATCAAGAGGTTACATTTATTTATTCAATATATAATAGTAAAATTATCAATATAATTATAGTATATTCGAGTAATCTACTCGTATATACAATACCAAAAATATATTTATTTAAAGAAAAAACTTGTTAATAGTCTCCACAATAAAACAGTATAATTCAATCGTAACTCAAAACAACTCCCCGTTCCTAGAAACCATAAAAGCGAACATCAACAATAACGAACATAGTTCTATACGGTGCTAAGGCTAAGCGAACGATCGAAAACGCGACCACGTGCCATACGCCGTAAAGTCGATTTTGCATTGAGCGGATCTCCCATTCGTTACCAGAACAAAAAAAAAACAAAAAACAAAAAAAAAACAAACAGGCCCTGGGACCGTCCCGACAGACACAATACGAAACCAGTTTCACGAGCACGACTGTAGAAATTGCATCCTTCAGTGTATTTCGAAAACAGAACAAACAATAACTATGTAATTGATTCAATATGAAATTTAACGTTATGTTAATAAACTTTATTTTGCATTGAATGTTTTACATTCTCATTGTTTTATACGGAGTAGACATGCTTCGACATCACAATGTGAACGCTGCCGTTAGAAAGAATATGAGCTAATGATCTTATCCGATCGCGACGGGACAACACAAAGCCGCCATCGCCAGAAACGTGTCTTTTCGGATCTCCCAGATTCACATTGGGTGCTTTTAGGACCCTCAAGCACCGGTCACCGTCCTAACTACCCACTAGCGAACTAACCCAAAGACACAGCCCACCGAGTTTCTCGCCGGATCTTCTCAGTGAGTCGCGGTTCCGATCCGGTGGTAGATTCTGCGAAGCACTGCTTTTTTCGCTCAAATTCGCTCAGATTGAGCCCGTGAGCTCATCTACCCGTCCGGGCGTAGCTGAAATAGCCTCTTAAGGTAACAGCGAATAGATAGAGGGAAAAAAACGAATGAAGAAAAAACTACAAATTCCTTAATTCAAAGCACATAACTAAGCATAAAAATTTACTAGTCATTAAGACATCAATGAACAAACAAGCGATTCGATATTCGTTCATTTTTTTTTTCTAACCAGTCAAGTATACGGCCCACCTGATGGTAAGCAGTCACCGTCGCTCAAGGACACCACCAAAGCCCGGGTCACCGCTAAGTCTCGGCCTACAAATCTAAAAAGTCCTATCTATACTCACACTCGTAGCAGATTTTATGACGCTTTAAACAATAAAATTTGACGTCACAGATGACCGCATGCGCAAAGTAACAAGTAGAAAATTACATTAGTATCGATTTTTCGAACGCTGTAAAACCGGAATCCATAGCCTTTTCAAACAGATGTATTGTGTGTGGAACACAATGGGATTCTCTAAAGGCGAGTTGCTTCGTCGTATGACACGAAAACTACATATTTCCATAAGAGATATATATAAGAGAATAACCTACGTTTATTTATTTTGTTAAAATCAAACTTCGGCGAATATAATATCGAGGGATGAAAGGCTTAAACGACATTTCGCTTAATACCTATGCGACATTTATCTTTGCAATTAAAGGTGCGTTTTATTTAGTATTAGCATCAATTGCTCGATGTTTTTAATAGAACTTCAATTTAGTTTTTTTTTTATTGCTTAGATGGGTGGACGAGCTCACAGCCCACCTGGTGTTAAGTGGTTACCGGAGCCCATAAACATTTACAACGTAAATGCGTCACCCACCTAGAGATATAAGATGTCAGTATAGTTACAACGGCTGCCCTACCCTTCAGACCGAAACGCATTACTGCTTCACGGCAGAAATAGATAAGGCGGTGGTACCTACCCGTGCGGACTCACAAGAGGTTAGTTTACTTCATTCAAATAGCTGAAGTTTTTTGTTATGATATAATTTTTAAATGGCTCTTCTGTAAAGTGAAAAAATTGTCGCTCAAAATAAAAAGGTTTTAACCCTTTGAAATTAAGTGTACTAACAAAATATTTTTACGGGTATCGATTTTTTTTAATCGAAATCGCAGACATTTCACGACGAGAGCCCACACCCTAACTGGTGGTTAGTGGTCACGAAAGAAAAATCGTTTACATATAAAAATAGTATTATTATGTACGTTGCTATTATTATTGTGAAAAACATGCCTCTCGTTTTTTCGTAGGTATATCATTAATATTCTCATCAACTCGCCATCTTCACATAACGTTTTGAGTCGTTATCTGATTAACGTTATTTTGTTTATTTTTCTATCTAAGCTGATGACCTTGAGAGGCCATTTCAGCCTAACCCTAATAAGTAGGTGAGCTCACGGGGCTCAAACCTGACGACGTTGCTAGCACTAACCCTAGCAATAGCAGTGCTTCGCAGAATCTACCACCCGATCGGAAACTTTTACTGGTGGTAGGATCTCTTGTGAGTCCGCGCGGGTGGGTGCCACCACCCTGCCTATTTCTGCGGTGAAGCAGTAATGCGTTTCGGTTTGAAGGGCGGGGCAGCCGTTGTAATATATACTTGTATATTACAACGGCTGCCCCGCCCTGTAAATACTTGTAAGTACCCAAGTAAATACTTGAGACATTAGAACTTATATCTCAAGGTGGGTGGCGCATTTACGTTGTGGATGTCTTTGGGCTTCAGTAACCAGTTAACGCCAGGTGGGCTGTGAGCTCGTACACCCATCTAACCAAAAAAAAAAACGCGACCCACTGAGAAGATCAAGACGTCATGCTGTGCATTAATTAATAAGTTACTGAGAAATGCAACTGGCTTATCATTTCGTTCTTAGGACCCATGAACAGGCCAAAAATTAAGAAAAACAGAAAGATAGTCATAATTTTTTTTAAATAAGTGTGTAGTCTTCAGCTGTACGTAACGGCTTAGCTCAGCCCCTGGCATTGCCGATGTCCATGAGCTAGACTACTTACAGTCAGGTAAGTCACATGCCCGGTTACCATCAATCGAAGTTTATTACACTATTGACGCCATTGTTGATACAATTTTATGTATTAAATTCTGCTCACCATATCCTACTAATATAAACACTTAAAGACCAACAAGAAAATAAACATATATTGAGATTATATACGCCGAAGGTAGAAGCGTAAGATGATAGATAGAAACCGAAAATCAAAATAACTAGCAGTCAAGTATGATGCGCTTTGCAAGTTAGTGTTGCCCCTTAGTTTCTTCTCTCGTTACACAAAGAAATTTAAACTATAAACACAATATAAAGTTATTAATAAAATACATGTATAAAAACACTAGAATGTTGATTAAAGTTGATGAACACATGTCAAAATCATATAAAAAAATTTATACCTAGAGCAAGGCATAAACGCAATTTTTACCTTTCAAACAAAACTGTATCTGTTGAACCTAAAAATCGTATTAACAATATCTCATAACTAACTCTGGTAAGTAATGGTATATCTGCTAATTTACACACCTGATTCGCAGCAATGAAGTCAGGATCATAAATAGCTGGTCTCGGCTTCATAGTGGCCATCTCCTTTTTCAGTTTCTGCTGCAGATCATAATCGAGGACCTTAGCTCGAGCCATCGACTCCGCCAAATTGAGAGGACTTATGTCCCAGCCATCAATAACTATGTACAAAAAAAAATCACTTTGTTTTTTACACAGATGGAAGTCCTTATGTCCATTGGTATTAAATGGTTACCTAAACTGGTCGAGACTTTGAAGTCTATGACTCAATTGTACAATAATTTTACATAATTATTATTATACTCTACAGGTTTGATTTTTATTACATTTTATTCCTTCTTTGTGGAAGTGTCATTAGTTAACATTAAGTACATAATTAATATAAAAATGAGTGCCTTTTTGTGGAATTCGAAAGCTGGCCATCATAGCAGTGGAGCAGTAGAGACAGTAAAAACCTGTCTAGTTCTATGTCTATGTGTCATGAGAGATTATTTAAAAACTGTATACAATTTTATAACTATATACTATGTTTTAGCTATATACTATACTTTTACTATATATATACTGGGATCAGAAGCCCCCTAAATGAGTGTAGCAGAATGGCTTTGAGCACAGAGTGGTGACCAGGGCTTAGAACACATCAGATCGGCCTCTCCAAGATCAAAACCACTCCATCAAAAGTGAAATGATGAAGAAGAAAAAATACTTACATAGATCATCAGGGTTCACCATCGGCAGTAAACTGTTCATTGGCACATTCACATCATTCCCTTTTTCATCTATCCCCAGTCTCACAGTCGATGCTTGTGTGATCGAACCAAACCTTAGAGAATGAAAAATTATTTCAGAGTTGTTTCTGTTCCTGATAAACTGACAACCCATTTGTTGTTGAGTGGTATCTGAAGCTCAAAAACAGCATGACAGCAGCAGACCGATATTCATGGAAAAATTTGCATACATGTGGTTGCGATCCTCAGTAATGAGGGAACAACAATGAAGAAATACAGTATAAGTAGTTATAATAGACATTAAGTTGAAATTGCACAAGAGATCAATACCACAAAAACAATATATAGATAAACAAATTGATAGCATATGGTCCATTAAGAAATTATCTAAGCCCATAGACAGCAAATTTGACTGTCAGACCTGATTAACATTTCTTCTCATGTGTGCATAATGAGATTTAGCAGAGAATGGGCGACAGTAATCACTGAGCATTAAACCAGTATACTAAGATTGCAGACAAGCATCTACTGGTGGTAAGAGGCATGTCCTAAACCCAAACAGGTGGGTACCACCAACTTGAACGCCGCCACCCCTGTCGCATTAAGAGATAGGGTCACAGACTTAATTCTACTGTTTACAGTTGTCCCAACCGCTCAACACCTTCTTTAAATTTTTTCCATAACAAACATAACTAATTTTTCCTCAAGGTGACAGTAATGTATAGATTGTGAGATCAGTAAATTGCCTTGATGTAAATTGAGTTCAGTAAATTACCTTGTTTATCCAAGTATATTTTCTCAAAAGATGTTTAAATTGTTTAATGTAAAACTACATTTATACTTCAGCCTCTGATGATGTATGATCACTATCTAGTAAGGATACAAAAGTAATCTGTTCTAACCAATTAGCATCTAGAGAGCCATTCTTTGTGTTCCAGGACAACTGGTGTCGGTTGGCCAAAACAGCCGCAGTAAATGTTGAACCATTGTTGCCACCCCATCCCACTAGCATCACTCCAACTTTGCCAACTTTACGCTGAGTCCTAATGCTCAAAGTTTTGCTGTACGGCTGTGCCTATAGAGTAATATTAATTGAAACTGATCATTCACATCAAAAAATTTAAAAACATTTTTCTGGTTTATTTTAATGTTCACTTCAAAGAATTGTATTAGTCTAAAAATCTTATTTAATTTGCTATAATGTGGCTAATGAAGACCCAAGCCAAACAGTGACTTATGCAGTTCATAAATTTCCAAAAGAGTATTTATTAAATGGAATAAAATACTGAAACATAAGTATATGAAATTATAAATGAAAATATAAGTGGATGAAGGGTTTAATTACCATTTTTATGATTTTGAGTTTTTACATTGAATGAAGGTGTTGTGCCTATAAACCATATTAGACCTTAAAACTACAGGTTTACAGGCTATTTTTAGAAATTTCATCTGCAGATGAAGGAGTTATGTACAAAGAAAAAGTACAAATTAAAAAAAGTTTGTTGCCTGTTTTCTCAAAATTAACAAATCGTGTCATATCCCATTTATCCACTCATGTCTTAGACATAACTAAAGAGTTAAACTATTAGTAGCGATAACATAATAACAATAATTTTAGAGTATTTTCCTGGTTTTCTAGTCGTAAAACTGTTTTTACTGTACGAAACTCCGGAAAAAATATAATGACAACTTAGTAATGGGAAAAAAGGGAATTTTAAATATGTATATGACTCATCAAACTGAAGAAAATGCCGCAATTTAATAATGATTAATGTATTAGACAAAAATACTATGATTTTATGAGTATGGTTTTTTTTTTTTTTATTGCCCTTGTAGGCAGACGAGCATACGGCCCACCTGATGGTGAGTGGTTACCGTCGCCCATGGACTTCAGCAATGCCAGGGGCAGAGCCAAGCCGCTGCCTACAAAGGTTGTATTCTACTTCTACCTTTCTGCAACATACCTTTAAAGTTAAATACCGGCAACAGCGTGTTTTGAATAAAAATAACGCTGTAAATCCGTTCTGAATAAAATATAACTCACCACTAACTGATTGTCGATTTTTTTCACTAATGTTTCGTTATACTCGTAATCGGCGTAAATAAAATCATCCGAATATTTCACATTCGGACTGACTATAACCAAATTTGGTGTTTTTTCCATCTCGAATTAGTTTATATAGGTAAATTAAATACCACAACGTATACAAACGTATTATGGTAGGAGTTGTAAGGGAATCGTTAATAAATACAACGATTTTACATACGCTACTCTCAAAACAAATTATACCAGGTAGGTACTAAAATATTGAAATTATCCTGGATATTTTAAACAATTTTAGTAAACAACAAGACCTGAGTTCAGTGAATTACATTTTATTTTTCTATGGGATTTTATGACCTGGTAACTAAGACCTTTAAGTCATGACTTATTTTAATTTATATTATTATTAATAGGTATGAAAAATTATAATAAGGAGTGAAATGAAATGAAGTGAAGATGATTAATTTAAGAAATTAATCAATTGGGGTGAAATTAAATGAAATGATATGAGATGAAATATAATCTTAATAAAATGGTAATCATTTACTGAGATTTTTGGCAGCGGCTTGGCTCTGCCCCTGGCATTGCTGAAGTCCCTGGGCGACGGTAACCATTCACCATCAGGTGGGCCATATGCTCGTCTGCCTACAAGGGCAATAAAATTTTTTTTAGAGAAGTTACGTCCAACGGCTTTGTTTCATTTTCCCACATTTGTGCACTTTCACAGATATTAAACAGTTAATAAACCACCGTTATTATTACACATTTCTATCTGAAGCAACACTAAATAGACAAAATAAAACAAATCACACAACTTTACTCCTCGCGTTCCCGCCAAAAAGTCCACATAGATTAAATATACATTTATAACATAGATCCCTTTATGTAGGTACACTTAAGTAGGTATCGTAAAATGGGGTGATTAGGGATTGAGGGGTGAATGGAGAAAAAATAAGTTTACAAAACAACTCTAAATATGCGTGATTATAGCTGCTAACTTATAAAAAATCAAATTAACTTCTTGTGGTGATAGGTAATTATTTTAGTGCTAGAAACTTTGCTTTCTTTTATTTATTTGATAATAATAGAAGACGACTGTGAATTAGAAACGTTATTTAGTGTTTGAACCATCATATATATTAAAGGTAAGTCTCAGTTGTTATTGGTTTTAATGTTTTTTGATAATATAAAAACACATGTAAAAATCTGTTGTTTTTGGGAATAATGGGGACGTCTCAGGTACAATTAACAACGAAAAAGGCGTCAACTGGGATGAAAGTAAGTTAAATGGGAACGACCTAAGTATAAACAAGTATGGGTTTGTCGGGTTGTCTATGTAGTTATAACAATCTTTTTTAAATGTGTTGGTAAAAGTCTGGTTTCTTCATGATGTTTTTGTCTAGAACATTTATTCAAAATTATCAATGCTGTGATATTTTATTGCTTGGCAAGTATTTATATTATTATCAGTTACGTATTGTTTTCTATATTTAGATATGCCTCGCGTATACGTATCAAAGAGTGCAAAGCCTTATAAGAGATATGATCCCTTAATATTAAAAACAGCAATAGAAGCCTATGGAATTGGGAATAAGTCTTTAGTTGAAATAGCTAAGCGATTTAACATAATTAAGTCGGTTTTGCACAGACATGTAACAAGAATAATGAAATCTCGAGGTGGACAAAAATGTCTAAGTAATAATAAAATATATTAATATTTGTTCGGAGTGAGGGTATCCACCTCATTAATCCATGGAATAACCGACACACCTAATCTCTTAACCCCCTTAATCACCCCGTTTTACCGGTACACATTAATAAATATTATTTTTATGGTATTCATTTAAATTATTTTTGGGCGATTGTTTCACTTAGATAAGCAAAGGAAACATAGCACATACTATGAAACTTTGCGTGACAAAGACCAAAATTATGTCTCATATTGAATTATAATTAAATTATGTCTCAGATGAAATATTCATTAATTTGAAAACGTTTATAGGAATGAAATTAATTACGAAATTTAATTGAATATAATGAAATCAACGGTATCAATAGATGTAATTTCCACATCCAGAGCTTTTTATAAACCTCAAAAAACACCTAATCACAAAATGAAATAAATCGTAAACTTGAATTCCCGCCTAAACATCTCAATAGCAATCAGCCTAAGTAGTATTGCTAGATTTATTTTTTAGATTTCCTCATGATGATTTTTTATTTCAGTAAGAACGTTCCGATGGAAACCGAACCGTACCGACCCAAACCGTTACTATTCAAAGGTCTTATCAAGAGATTCTAAATTTGCAAATAAATTTTCAAACTGTCATGGTATCGTGATATTAGCGGAATAGCCTATATCATTAAATGATCTAGAGTGGTATGAAAAGAGATAAAACAAGGTACTTTTTGATAGTGACGATGATATGCTTTACAATTTGCTTTAAGGAACAGTTTCTTAATTCAGTTTAGGATAGGGGTCGACTAATAAAAATGTTAACCAAAACTTAACCAAAACCAAATGTAATCTTAAATTCAACCATATGAAGCCTTAACTTTGACAATTTGACTATTTAAGTAGGTACTTTAAAATTATATTTATGAATTTCAATCATAAATTTGAATTCCAAACAGTATTTTAAAGCGAAATAATAAAAAGAAAAAACATAAAAATTCAGTACATACTATAAAACTCACAGTTAGATTTTTAATAAAAAATTTTACATATACGTACTTAGTTATAAGAAGACAACTAGTGATAAAACAGTCGAATAAAATTACATTGCAAAATTGTAAGTGAGCAATTTTTGATAATAGCAAAATGGACTGGCAATAACAAGATATACAGACAGGTATGGACTGGCTGGTCAAGCGAAAACAATGTTATATAAATTTCATAGCGCATTCAATTTAGATTTACGTGTTGCTGTTTATATAGATTACAGAGAAACAATGGTGAATTCCTGATAAGACCATTCAGGTGGGATCCATCCCGAACAGTCTTTTTAAATTTCACATCCAAATATACCTAAACTAATTACTTGACCTTCACCTCAACTTTAACAGCATTCAAAATAAACAATAAATGGGATCTGCTCATCTCCGGAGTTTGCAATACAGTTCTTAGTTTCTAGTTTATTATTCTTGGAAAAACTGTCCAAAAATCAGCAATTTTTCCTGCAGTAAAACCGTCTATACCATAAATTTATATTTGCTTCGTCCGTCGCAGGGAAAGCAAAGGGAATGTAATTTAAGTCGCCAAGTTTTTAAGCATGAAAACTAAATTGAAAATGAACTAATTTTTTAGTAGTAGTAAATTGATTTTTACTCAGTATAGTTGTGAAAATACTAAACTAGATGCAATACAATTATTCTCACATATTTTTAAATTTGGTCTTTGTTATAGTCATTGATTGTACGGTACTCACATCCACAAGCTTCAGAATATAGCAACAAGAAGACGTGATTTAAGAATGAAAAAAATAAAAAATCAGATGGCGCGATAGGTGGATGGCGCTATGATTAAAGTAATCCTTGTGCGTTCAAATCTTTAAATTAAATTATTATTTTATTTTAATGATCAATTTTACCAATTTCTACGGTGATGGTCTACGGACTACCACGGTGAAGGAATGACTTCGTGTAATAATCATCAAACCCGCAAAATTATAATTTGCGTCATTACTGGCGGTAGGACCTCTTGTGAGTCCGCACGGGTAGGTACCACCACTCTGCCTAATTCTACCGTGAAGCAGTAATGCATTTCCGTTTGAAGGGTGGGGCAGCCGTTGTAACTATACTTGAGACTTTGAGACCTTAAAGCTTCAAGATGGGTGGCGCATTTACGTTATATATAGATGTCTATGGACTCCAGTACTTAACACCAGATGGGCTGTGAGCTCGTCTATTCATCTAAGCAATAAAAAAATAAATAAAGAAAAGCAAACGAAAACAAAGAAAAATACCTACTTCATACATATACTTGGTTCTTCAATAAAAGATAATTAATAGGAACTGGTCTTCGTCTGTCGGCCAGCTGCTAAATATTTTTTATTAATATTATAAAAATACTACTAGGAGTATTGCAACAAAAAGTCACTTAATAAACTAAGTAAACTTATTGAAAAACTTCAACACCTACCAACCTAACCTAACATGGTTACACGTACCTACAAATTCATCCTCCTCGAATCGTGTTCCTCATGTCCGAGGGTCGTGACCACCATCACCCATGAGCTTCAATCTTAAGATGTTTTTCCACTTTCCCCTGTCCACGGCGTCATGCAGAAATGCACAAATGCGTCATGCACAAATTCATAAATAGGTACATAAATCAAAAGTTCCATTAACATTATGTTGTTTTTTCAGGGATTCAATAGTGGATACCATTGAATACTTTAGTGCTTACTTTTTTAATAGTTCCTTTTTTTAAGTACATACGTAAATTTACCATGAAATAAATATATTTGTGTGCAAGTCCCAAGTCAAAAAATATAATTTTGTTGCATTTTAGTATGTACCTATTAGATAAAATAAGTATAAGTTTTTAAGGAATAAAAAAAAATACGTAACTGGCCACCATGAAATAAAAAAAGAAACTCCACTTCAATGAAATTAAATTCGAACCAAAATTTAATTGTGTAGGTACTATGTAACTCATTAGCTAAAGATAGTTCCTACCTAGCTGTTATTCAAGAAATTTTAGAAAAATTGAATCGTTTCAAGCATTTTATTCGAACTAGTCATTCGTGATGAAGATTAATGCACTTCGTATTCAAATGTAGAAACGGAACGATGGAATTCAGTAAAAACAAAAAACAACTTCAACTTCGTCAGCCTATTCTTTCGAGTTCACGGTTGTTTATGTGTGTGTCTGGTAAAAAGTGATTGAAATTGTATGTACATATATACAGAATGTACGCGTGCGTACTTTTTACCATACAACGTACACACTCACATGTACATTCATCAGTAACCAACCAACGTACTATTCATAATACTGATGTTTATAAAATATATTGTGGCATTTGCTTGGATTTAAATTTGAAATTGCACCCCAGCTGCGGTTTTTAAAATGAAATATATGATTTTACTGCCGATACTCAACAAGAGTTTTTAAATAAAAATATATTGAGTAGGTATTCGATGTACTTATATAAGTACTAATGAAACTCGTCTCACACAACAATCCTATTTTTATATCATATACTGATTATGGTGTTAACTATTTAATAAATGCATGTATCTGGACACTAAGTACATTTTTGTCCAACTACAATCCAGTAGGTAATGTACCAGACATAATGTGCCTACAGCTTACACACACTAACGTACTTGACTATATCGTGGAAATTTTATTTATGCGCGTTGTAAACGAGCTAGCATTAACAGTATAAAATAGTATAAATTTAAAAAAATTAAATTCATCTTATTGACGTGGATGTAGAGGCATGTCGCTGGCGCGTAGTACAATTTATAAAGTTGTATATTAATTACAGTATAATAAAGCATGCGGGGGACGAGGGGGCGCGCCGCGCTCTCATATTCCGTATATTGATTGTGTGCGAGGGGGCCGGGGCAAGGAGGGGGCCACAGCGTGCCCCACTCTGTTTTTTACGACACGGCTTTCTGTGTAACATAATTATTGTATTAAATTTTGTGAAATGTCTCGGTGTTACTTGTGAAAAATCTGGGTGCCGGAAACGCGAATACGAGGTAAGAAATTTACCCGGCTCGGATTTCTTTCAAATTTTTGTGTTTTTGAATTTAATATAAATACAATTTATAGCTATAAATTCCGTCGGCGCCGCGTACCTACAGTATATTACACTGTCATACCGCGTACGTATAGTGTTTTTTACGGGCATCGTTCTAAAAATAAGTTGTAATAATTATAATTTTATGTAGCGGTCGCAACAGAGTTCGTTTTGTGTCGATAATTCATGAGACGTGAAGTGTGTGATGAGTGTTCCTGAAGTGGTTCCGGTGGTACAGATGCAGGGGCTGGTGAGCGACAAGACGTTCCACTTGAAGTGGAACAACCACCTGCAGAACCTGAGCCAGCTGTTTACGACCATCTACTCGTCGTCAGCGCTGGCGGACGTCACGCTCTCCTGCCGCGATGGGACCCTCAAGGCGCACAAACTTGTGCTCTCAGCTTGTAGTCCGTATTTCGAACAAATATTCAAGTGAGTACATGTTTTAATTCATCAAACCATTAAAGCAATAATGCTAAGTTCATATACAATTACTTATGTTTTTTAAATCTATTCCAAGTACTGCATCATTTGGTCATTATGACATCATTATTTTTTCTAGTGAAGTTATTTATAATACCAACAGTGCACTGTTCAGAGCCAGTATTTTGCAGACTATTCAAGTATATTTAAATAGTAAACAATTTTATGTAACAATATTTTTTATTACCACTAAATGTTACATAAAAGTCATACAAGTTGAATAAAATTATTTTATCTTATGATAACAGAAAAATAATAAAATATTATTTGATAATATTCTGAGTTTGACACCAACATAAGTTAGATAAAATATTCATTTAAAACAATATTAAATCTCTAACAGGGACAATCCATGTCAGCACCCCATCGTGATTTTAAAAGGGATCCCTTTTTCTGAGATCAACCTCCTTGTGGAATTCATGTACAAAGGGTCAGTGGATGTTCAAGAATTGGACCTGCAGTCATTAATGCATACAGCTTCCGAGTTAGAGATCCGAGGACTAGCTTATGAAGCTCGTGACAATGCTGCCCAGCTTTTAAATGTGAATTTAGAGTACCCCACAACATATCCACAGACAGCAACTTCCACTCAATCCTCGTTTCAACAAGCTCGTGCAACAGACGTTGAAAGACTAAAACAGGTATGATGCAGTTTCTTAGTTTAGTATTTATTTACCATGAATTCAATTTTAAACATTGAATTCAAATTTTTTATTTTAAAATTTTATTTTTGTATGTTGCATTACATTTTTAGCACAGTTTAGCATTAGTGAAATATACAAAAAAACATAATTAAGAATATCTGAATCAGAATGGTTCCTTTTAAACAAATAGTACTCTGTGTACCCTCATTGGGTTTGTTACATTTCCTTTAAATTTAATTTCTATTTTAATAAATGCACACTTTTTAATTGCTATAATTATTACATTCAATTATCTGACCAGTGAGAAAAGCCTAATGAGAATTTTGTTTTTAAAATGAAGTTTTAATTTTGTGATTTTGCCCAGTTCAATTTTAGAAAAATAATAATTTAAACGTTATATAAAAATAAAATCTTGGTAATGTGAAGGGACTAACCTTGGTCTGTGCTAATTGGTGTCAATAAAAAACATTCCATTATTTTTTTAATGCTCTAATCAAATACATGTAACATGTTTGCTTAAAATTTATACTACTAATACTGTGGTGAATAAATAAAAAAACAAACTCCTAACATGTTAAGATACCGATTATGTGTCTATGAGTAAATTCTAACAACATGTGTTTGTAGAATATGAAGTACTTAAATATAAAAAAGTTAATGCATTAATATAAAGTACAATGTTATTTGCCCGGAAAGTATTCACTTATTAACATTAATTACCTGGGGCTTGTTCATATAATTAATTAAAAGTATATTTATTTGCATATCGTAATAAATTAGAATGTTGATTGGTATAGCATTAATTTTTAAATTTTATATCGTTATCTACCAAAATATTTTAATACAACATTCAGAAAATGTATATACGGCCGTTGAGGTTTTATTTATTTTTGTGTTCGTTCAGACGGAATACAATCTCATTGTCCAGCTGCAGCTAACTGGGTAGTGATGTCCATGGACACCATAACGATGAATCATCATAACTCATGCACACATTCCAAGGCTTTGTTAAAGTATCAATTGTATGACGTAATTTAATGTAAATATAAAGATGTTGGAGATAATGGTGATTTAAAAAAAATATAGGTAGTAGAAAAACATTATATGTGATCGGGAAAACCTTTGATGTATTAACAATCGAATTCTCAATCCACTCCTTATTAGGTTATTCATTAGAATTCATAATTATGACAACATATTAAAAAAAATTAACAATTACTTTGAAAGATGCAATTTTTTTAATAGCACGTGCTATTTTCTTTCAAATTTTAATACAACTAAAGAATACTTGGACTATTATTTTTTAAATTTATATTTCAACATTTGAGTCATGCTACTTTCCGTCTAGGTACTGTCTTAGTTGCCACAAGCTGTGTTCGTCCTCCACTCCCTTCGATCAGCGATTATATTTCTATAGCATGTCATAGTCATTCTTCACTTTCATGATTTTCATTATTCTAGGTGGTTCTATATTTCGGAAATATGAAATAATGTTCACGCCATAAGAATTTCTAATTTATATACGGCACGAAGTTTACCAGTTTATTGCTGTTGGCAACACAGTTCGGACAACTAACTTAGTGATTTATATGTGCCGTGAATTTTTCGGTATAAATTCAAGATCAATGTGTTTCGAAGCCTTTCAAGCGGATTTAGACTTATTTGGAAAAACCTTTGGCTGTACATGTGTACGAATTGGTATAGATAAAAAAAAAAAGTTAAAAATTATGATTTATCGGTTTTTGTTTCGACGTGTTTTAGTTAATACGTTACTTTCTGATTAGTGGCAACGCTAATTTGCATTTAGTCATTCTCAAAACATCAGTTTTTTTTTTTTTCATTTTTAACGTATCGCAAACGATAATCATTTATCCTAAAATAAACAATCACGTAATCATTGTATTTTATGAGTAATAAATTTTCTTGTATATATATTTACGTATTCACCACATACGTATACATATGCTAAACATCAATACCTTGATCTTTATGACACTTTGATATTGATTTTAAAAAGTTAAAATGTGCATTTGAAATTAACTGGTGGTAGGACGGAAGGACCTCTTGTGAATCCGTACAGATAGGTACCACCAAATTGTCTATTTCTGCGGATCAGTTTCCGCCCCTGATTGACTGCTGATCTGAGGATCGTAGGCGTTTGTATACTCTTCGTCTGGGATTTAAATTTTTATAATTTAAATGTATGGATGAATATTAGTCTCCTGTTCAGTCTGTCTGTGGATCCTGTTCCTCCGGTTTCTATTTTGTAGCCAGATTATTGTGATTTGCCGACTGACCGAAAAACAAATCAATATTAATACCATAGGGGATTCCCCTAGGAAAACCTTCATGCTTGATTTGGTTTTTTTTAAGCCTTTTTCTATTTACTGTTTAACAAAATGTCAATTAATATTAATGACTGCATCGAAGTAACGGCCATCTTATTATTTCGGTCCACGGTTGTATTTTGTAAGTAATGTAAAAACTACAAACGTAATTATATTAAAACAAAAAATATGTATTGTTCGATCAATTCAAATTAATATTGTTCGTGTATTCAACAGAAATAGTATTATAGGATCAGAATTATAGACGGGCTCGACGAGTAAATTAACCCATAGACACAGCCCACTGAGTTTTTCGCCGGATCTTCTCAGTGGGTCGCGTTTCCGATCCGGTAGTAGATTCTGCGAACCACTGCTCTTGCTAGGGCCAGTGTTAGCAATACTCCGAGTCCCGAGAGCTCACGTACACGCTAGGGCAAAGCTGAAATAGCCTCTCAAGGCTATCAGCATAGGTAGTAAAAAGGGCTTTTGCAGTACACACACACCAGTAGCTGCGCATGTTTTTTTGAGTTTTCTTTTTATCCTACTTAGAAGGAGGATACAATAATCCTCACCAGAATAAGTAGCACAAAAAAATAGTTTATTTATTTATATAATATCTTCTGATCTGGACGTCTTCTGATCGCTGTTAAAGCGTCTTTGTTGGATTATTTTTTTCTATTATTCTATTCAGTAGTTATTGTTGTTATTGTCTTGGTGTGTACGTTTTTATATAATATCTTCTGGTTGCTGTTAAAGCGTCTTTGTTGGATTATTTTTTTCTATTATTCTATTCAGTAGTTATTGTTGTTATTGTCTTGGTGTTTACGTTGTTCTTTTAAATAATCAGTACTTTTTGCACTATAATAATAATAAAACAAAAGAGAAAATGTGCCACATATAAATAAATGCAGGTTAAAGCATAACAAAAGCATCGTCGTGGCCTAAAGAATAAGACGCCCGGCGCATTCGTATCAAGCGATGCAACTGTGTGGCTGTTCGAATCCCGCAGACATACAAAACATCTAAGAAAAATTTAAATTAAATTTCAATTTCAATTTTTCTAATACGTACTTGTTACATGTCACGAACTTCCACAATGGAGGAATAAATAAAGAATAGCATAATCAAAAATCAAACCTGAAAAAAATATAATTTGCGTAATGACTGGTGGTAGGATGTCTTGTGAGTCCGCACGGGTTTTTGCACCACCTTTCCTATTTCCGTGGTAAAGCAGTAATGCGTTTCGTTTTGAAGGGTGGGGTAGCCGTTGTACTGTAAAACCGGGACCTTAGAATTTATGCCTCAAGGTGAGTGGCGGCATTAACATTGTTGATGTCCATGTTTTCCGGGAACCACTTAACGTAAGGTGGACTGTGAGCTCGTCCACCCAACTTAAGAATAAAAAAAAACATGATTTAACGGCAAACCGAACTAAAAATTGTTTCATTTCGATGCCTTCAATGAACACTACTCTGACTCAAAATTTTGAAATTTTCGTTTTTCACGCATAATCGCTTCACTATTTTAAAAGTATTAAAAATCATTATTGACGGGGTTCGAAGCAAGAGTAAATCAGCTAGTTTCACAAGAAAAAACCATAAATATATCTGCAATAATAAAGATTTTATCAACTTTTTTCGTTTAAACGCTCCTCCTGTAAACCTACGAATTTGGAGTTAGAGTAGTGTTCATTGGAGGCATCGATTTATCTTGGTCATTTTAATTAAGGTATTAATTAGGCCAAAATATTAGAATAAAATTATTGGGCTTTCATACAGATCATTCAACAACCTTTCGAACTTATTTTTCGGAGACTTTAGGAATCGTAAGTTCATCACTGGGATTTTTTTCTACATCGATTCCGATATTACTCTCACTGATGAGTGTGTGCCTATTCGCATATATACCATATGGATATTACAAAGAAGTTGTATTGAAAGTATACATGATTCTATCGATTGGCATCATTTATTTTTATCGTGTGAAAATATTAAGACCAGCTACGTAACCAATGAGTGCCATCGCATTGTTTGCAGTGAGTGCTTAGTCCGAGTTTTTTAACGTTCCCGATAGCGTAAAAGTTAAGTCAAATTTGTATGCAGTTGAAACAGCGCCTCTAGTTGTAAACGTAGGCAAACCTTTCAACTACATACTCAAATTTGAATACCATATGGATATTTCGATTGGTAGGATGCATATAGAAGTTGTATTGAAAGTATACATGATTCTATCGATTGGCATCATTTATTTTTATCGTGTGAAAATATTAAGACTAGCTACGTAACCAACGATTGCCATTCTTTGCAGTGAGTGCTTAGTCCAAGTTTTTTAACGTTCCCGATAGCGTAAAAGTTAAGTCAAATTTGTATGCAGTTGAAACAGCGCCTCTAGTTGTAAACGTAGGCAAACCTTTCAACTACATACTCAAATTTGAATTAACTTTTACGCTATCGAGAACGTTAAAAAACTCGCAATGAGCACACAGGAAGACAACGCCGTTACAGTTATCTATATATTAATACGTGAAGCAAAAACTTTGTACCCCTTGCAAATTGCACAAATGGAGGAGTATGAAATTTCCCACACTTATAGAGATTATAGAGAAGGAGTGCAGAATTTGCACGGCAGGGTGGTGGTGCCTATCCGCGCCGACTCACAAGAGGTCCTACC